GGTGAACGCGTTACTCCCCGGAAAGGACAATAGCGCGTTCGTTCCCCACCGCATACACCTGCGGTCCGGAGTTTTGCAGATATCTCAGCATCATTGAAGTTATATTTCACAATATACCTTGCCATTGAAAAAGAGTACGCAGTAAATAATAAGTTAAAATTGTGATTATTAGTATACTCCAAAGAAGAAAACTGAATAGTATAGATATCCAACCGAGAATCGAACAAATCATGAACATAATCCCTAGCTTCATCGAAAATATCCGAAGAAATCTGCTGCTCTGATAGTTTGTCTGTAAAAGTACCTCAATAAAAAGAAGGAACTATGTTGGAGGATGAAACGAACAACATACCAAACACCTTCTTCAAGATTTTCCTTGGGAATGATATGCTGCTTACTGATTCCTCGTCAATATACTTGTTGTAGATATTCCTCGCATCAAGAAGAGCGACTATAAAATCATCGTTAAATAGAAATATGGCAGTCGCCCAGTGTGATTTATGAATGGCTTCCCAAAAAAAAAAACGTGAACGTTAACATACAATGTCCGATAGGTACTGATTTCAATACATTTCGTGCGAAAATAATGGGCGCCTCCAAGTCCGAACCAAAATAAGTCGGATTGCGGTGAACTTTGTTTTTAAAAAAAGGATAAAGTTCTCGGCGTTAATCTATCACTGAGGGATGAGCCATGCATTCGATTTCATTAAGCATCGTTGGAGATGACTGAAAGCATATCTGGCGTTTACACTCGCAGTGGCCTACCGATGTATCGAGCCAGTGCTGCTATCCTCCCAGACAAGTCTCGTACCAATTGCCCGACACCGGAGGGATGCAAGGCTTGGTGGGCCAGGGAAGCGGGGATCGATACCATGTGTGTCGCAGGGCGCCTCCGATCACTGCGGTACACTCGTCCTTTTGGGTATACATATTAATATTTATAAATCAAATCGACCATGTCCTAAACATAAATCTCACTTAGTATTAATAAAATGAAAAACTAAATCTTCGTCGTACATTCGCCATACGTAATGAACATACGTGATTCTTCTGCTTTTTGTGATGAAACAGTTCGCTTCTCCCCAAATGACGCCTTATATCCTTCGACGTGTATCCAGAACTTTATGAGATTCAATTGCTCTAAAAAACCACTGCTCAAAAACATTCTTGAAGATTGAGAAGCTGTGCAGAATTACGAAAACGGAAAGGTAGAGATCGAACAACGCCTAGGTTTCACTTAAAACGAACCACAAGATTCCAAGTAGTGAATGAAGAAGGCCAATCCAGATGGATCTCCCAGTAGAAGATCAACATTATGCGCTATAGCTCTCGACTCTTGAATACCAATTGGCTCCTGCACTCCATTTGCTAAAACAAAAACGAGTAAAATCCTCGATTCTACTTACAGAATCTAGCAATGTCGCTATACCCAAGTCAAAAATACAATCTTCTTCATCTCTTTCCTGTATGCATTGACTACCAGTGTGGCCGAACAGCTCTGTACCGTTGGAAACACATTGCGCAGAGTCTGCGAAGGAGAACGATTACTGAACTCAGAACACATGGATAGGCTAGCGGTCAATACTTATTTTTATAACTAGAAACTTATACATAAACTTTACTACTACTCTTTTACAACCAGTTATTTAGTATGTACGCTTTCGTACGATTATCAGCGTAGCAGTAACCAGTGTCAGATCCAAAGCTAGATCTTTCATAGTATTTAGGTCCAAGTTTTTGATTCAGAACACAGATTATGCTAGTCAAGCGTTCAAATCAAATGAAATATGGCTTATAGACCTAAAGGACACCAATATCATCCGAAGCCAGACCTTTCACAATACTTAGGCACCAAGTTTTTGATTCAGGACTCAGATTAGGCTAGTCAAGTTGCTAGTTCAAATCTAGTGAAAAATGGCTTAGATCTCAAGGAGACTTTTGTTGGGATCTATGTCCAGAATAATAGCACACATAAAATCAACTCCATGCACTTGTGGTTATGATAGTGTTCGAAAGGTATAACTGAACTAGGTGTACGAGCAATCAAATTATCATCTGGATCCACCTGCGCCTCAAGACAAAAGGATGCTATCCTTTAGTTCGGGATTCCTCACAAGGAAATCCGTGACGACTAGGAATGTACGTAAAACATTGATGCGAGAATGCATCTCAAGCATAATTTAACTGGAAATACAAGTAAAGACAACCCGTGCTTGCGTGGTAGTCGCGTTCATCATGAAACACACGTGAAAAACACTATGTTTTCCGGAAAAAAGGTTTACTACTAGAAAAACCAGGAACGGTATACCTCGATGATCTTTCCGTTTAAATTTCTCGAATACAGAGTCCATAATATGACGTCAACCGTCTCGAGAAACTGACAACATTGCCGAACATAGGCAAACCGGATTTGTTCCAGAACGACGACTCCAGACTGATGTGTAATGCGGCCACACCCAAACATGAACACAACTATTCGCTTTGGAGCACGAACAGGGACACATATTGGCTTTGGACCGCGAAGGTGTTAGCCTAGGGACAGCCCTCACCTACCGGACTCGTTCAACGTCCTTTTCAGCAAAAGACTTGTTCTGAAGTTAAGTTGTCTGCTTGTTTTCGGGTGATTAGTCGTTTACATAAATATCGCATTGTTATAATTTCAAAGTTTGTTACCCTCTTAATGGTTGAACCCTTCACCGTGACGACTGACTGGTCTTGGGTATCGAAGTGCGTCGTACAGCAGGCGGTGCATCACCCCAGTAGAATCATTTAAACTGGAAAAAACCATCATCTACGTTCAAATACTAGCTAGTAAGCTTACACCAGTAGTCGTTTCCGTCCTAGATAAGGTTAATTTCAATACGGCAATCTTCATCTTCTTACGTTTGTTGGTAACCGAATAGATGGCGGCGCGGAATATACTGAGATTATTGCGGTAGACCTAAGCTGTTGTAATAGCGCTGGAGTGGAATAGTTCTAGCCAGTCCTTGTTCCTGTTGCGTGGCAGAACTGTCCGATCAATGTCGTTGTACTACCTTTTCTCAATAAAAATATGGTGAGGGAATCTTTCGAAATTCTTAACCTTGCCGTGTAAGTTGAATCCATGTTCCACACAGGTATACTGTCTCGTTTAAATTGGTGTAGGGTTTGATGACGAACACGTAATGGTTATGTACGTCGTCCAAAGCCGTACTTATTTTGGAGACTGATGTTTCCGTGATTGAACAAAAGGCGGACCGATCAATCACTTCGAGTCGTTATTTGAGAAATGAAAGCAGGACCGATTGTAGCAAGATACGCTTGTGTCAAGAGCTGAGTAGCCGGGTTTGAAAACCTCCTTAGGAAGACGTCTAACGAATTCTCTATTTTTCTAGTTTCAACGTGATCACTAAAACATCGGGTATAATTTGCAATTTCAGAAGCTGTCCTCTCAAAGTTGGATATGGTGACCATCTGGTTGACAGTACCATGATGAAGTCTATTATATCATGGTCAGATAAACCACGCATCTTCCTCGTAGAGGGATCTCATGCCTGTTAGTTGCGATGCAATGTGGCGCGTCCCCAGGTGGCGGATAGGGGATTAACCCATAGAATTGAAACCTGTTCCTGCTGCTCCAATTTCGAAAATACCTCTGTTTACGAGGACGTATTCATGCATGCTTGTGTTGGTGTGGTCTCGTTTCTGCAGATTGTATTCTACGAGTCGATTCGGCCATAAGCCTGCAATCAAGTAACAGGGAAGTATGGTATGCTATTCGTGAGCATATGCAGCTCCCACGTCCAAATCTCAGCAAGCTAGACGACGGTGTTAAACACGGAACACGGTAAAATAGACGGGCCTCATTCCCCTGACCCCTAAAGAGCCCACGGTACGGCAGTGATGGGCAGGACGAGTACCGAGAGGCTACTAAAGTCTCAGGGTCATTCTAGGCTGCCTAAATCACAAAGGACACCTGTACATAAAACGCACACACACTTTCATCTGTGACCGTTAAACAAGACTTGATCACGCAGGAAAGAATGATAACGCATGACGCCATCGGACTGGCTGAGACGAAAAGACGCCACCCATTCATCGCCGTCTATGACACTGGAAAAGAACGGTTACTCGGATCATGCGACGGAACAGAAGTCGGCGCCTTCGACGTTCTCGTCAACACGAGTTTGTCCATGAACATTGATCCATTCGAACAACCAACAACCGAAATCGGACGTTTACGGTTAAAAAGACGTGAATCAGTACCGGCTTTGACAATCTTCGTCGTTTACGCGCTAACATCAAACTATGATGAAGAAGAAGTCGAGGCGTTCTATATAGACTTGGAGAAGTTCTACAGAGAAGACCACACATTCTTCAAGGTTATCATTGGAAATTTTAACGCCAAGACTGGACCAAGAAGAACGTCACGTGGGGACCTACGGATTAGAATGGAACGAACACAGTGGGTGGCTGTCTGAGTTTATTATGACGACCAAGACCATCCATGGTAACTCGTAATTCAAGAAGCCCCACCCGCTGGAAATGGGAGCCTGCCAGTGGAGAGTACCATAACGAAATAGACCACATCATAGTAAATAGAAGGTTTTGCTTTGCCTAACCGATGTCGCTGTTATCCCAAAATTCTACACGGGGTCCGACCAGCGCCTCCTTCGTACAAGATTTTATTCCTCGCAGAAAGGAGAAAAAACCGCTAAAGTCAAAAACCGGAGTCCCATGACCACTATAAACTGGGATTTATTCAATTCAGTAGTCAGCTGCTGAGAAGATGCCGTTGTCGATAACATCGACGAAGAATACAATCAGCTCATTCAACATCTTCACGTTAGCGCTATGAAAGCTGAAAGTTCGAAATTCACCAAAAGACATCTGTCTGCAGAAACACTCGAGCTCTTACGTCAGCGTGGAATGGCATGAGCTGCAGGCTACCGCGAACTAACGTCCGAACTTGCAAAACAGTGCAGACAGGCGATAAAAGAAGATCGCAGGGAGAGAAGAACAGCAGTAATGGTCGAAGCTGCAGAGCCTGGGAAAAGCGTTCGTAGGCCCACCGAAGCTTCGCCAGTTACAAGACCAAGACGATTGCACTCTGACGCCCACAGGGAACAGTAAAGGGCGTCCAGAAAGGCAATGGAGAAAATCATTCACGAATACTACTCAGATCTCTTCGATAGCCACGTTCACTTTCCGTCATATGAAATAAAGGAGGATGGATGTGTTATACCACCGGTTCTCCCTTCGGAAATCCAACATGCGATTTCGTCGGTGAAAAATCAAACAGCACCAGCTCCGGACAGGATAAGACCAGAACACCTGAATAACCCTCCGCCAGTCCTCGTAAGCACACTGGCTCGGCTCTTGACACGTTAACTCTCTGAATGCAAGGTCCCTGCTTAGTGGAAGACCAGCAGGACCGTGTTATTGTTCAAGAAAGGTGACCTGCACGATATCGGCAACTATAGCCCTCTACCTGCTGTCTGTCGTCTACAAACTTTTCACTCGAGTCATCCTAAACAGGATTGACAGAACACTGGACGAAGAAGAGCCGTGTGAGCAAGCAGGGTATCGAAAAGGATTTAGTACGACGGACCACATACACACGGTAACAAGGCTCATTGAACTATCGCGACAGTACAAAAAACCGCTTTCTCTCATTTTCATCGATTTACAGAAAGCCTTTGATTCAGTTGAGATAGAAGCAGTCTTGGAAGCTCTTGATAGTCAAGGAGGAGACTCAGTACAAAAAGATTCTTCGTGAGCTGCACAAAAATTTCGCAACCAAGGTATCACCATTCTACAACGATATTAACATTGACGTCAAAACAGGAGTTAAGCAAGGCGATACCATCTCGCCAAAATTATTTACCGCCACCCTCCAGAACGTCATGCGAACATTGGAATGGGATAATATGCGAGTGAAAATCGATGGTCGGCAGTTACACAATCTTCGGTTTGCTGATAACATCGTCCTTATAACACCAAACATTAAGCAAGCGGAACGTATGCTTGCCGACTTCGATTGAGCCACATCAAAGTCAGTCACACATGAGTCACAAAGCGTTGTTTATAAGGAACGGGTATGGTTACACATACCCCATTTACGGTCAACTAAAGGAATCTGTCCAAATGGTCCAACTGTGTCTACGTAGGCTCGAGAATGAACATGATGAACGACTTAGCTCCAGAGTTGAGCAGGAGGAAGGGAGTGGCTTGGGAGCTTTCAAGAGCATCGAGGAAGTAGTGAGAAGTGCAAAGAACACCCGACTGCGTGCCCATCGTTTCGACTCCATGGTGCCCTAACGTATGCGTCAGAATCCTACTCACTATGTATAGAGGATGAAAGGTCGCTCAGCGTTACTGGACGCGCATTCGCATGGACGATGTTTGATGTTTCCAACGGGTGATTGCTGATGGCAGAGATCGATAAAACTAGCTGAGAGTCAGGCGGAACGAAGGACCCGCATGGTGTGGTGGTGAACGCGTTACTCCACGGAAAGGACAATAGCGCGTTCGTTCCCCACCGCAGACACCTGCGGTCCGGAGTTTTGCAAATATCTCAGCATCATTGAAGTTATATTTCGCAATATACCCTGCCATTAAAAAGAGTAGGCAGTAAGTAAAACGGTTACGATGTTTGAAGTATCTCTTGTCACACAGGTGAGGGAAGGGAACCAAAGCTTTGTCCTACGTCAACGATCAAAAATCAAAGATACCAATGTTAACATTTTATTTACTGCCTATCACAATTTTTCACGGGAGTTTATTACGTGTGATTCAACCACAGTGATGCCGAGATATTTGCAAAACTCCGGACCGCAGGTGTTTGCGGTAGGAAACGAACGCGCTGTTACACTTTCCGGGGACTAACCCGTTCCCAACCACACCATTCAGGTCCTTCGTTTCGCCCATCTCTCGGCTAGTGTTATCGATCACGTCATCACCAATCACCCGTCAACGGGATTGATCTGGGGAGCTCAAATCGGCAGCGAACTCTGATTGGTTGCTGATGGCCTGATCGATAGAACTAGCCGGGAGACAGGTGAAGCAAAGGACCCGCATGGTGTGGTTGTGAACGCGTTGGCCCCAGGAAAGGGTAAAAGCGCGTTCGTTTCCCGGCTAGCAAACACCTGCGGTCCGGAGTTTTCCAAATATCTCAGCATCATTGTGGTTGCATTAAAGATACCGTTCTACACGCCCAACCCATCGAAGATAAGATGGGCCGGACGCGTAATGCGTGTTGACGATACCCGATAGCCAAGAGCCGTTATTGACTGCATTCCTAAGGATGTGAAGCCTACTGCAGGAAGAACACAGACCCGATGGTCAAAGTTTTTCACGAAGACTCTAGAAGAAAGATATGATGCTTGACAAGTCCCTAGAGAAAGTAAAACCCACTGGTCTTACAAACGACAGGGAGAAATGGAAGCTTTACTGACGCGAACTCGAGTCACTCGACGATCAGGGAGATGACAGGTGATACAGGTGGTCCACAAATGAAAGCTTTTTCTAACTAGTTCCATTACTAACCCAAAGTTATATAGAACACTGGAACGTGATCTGGTTTGCACAAGGTTGTTCGCTGTCATCAGCTGTACACGTTTGTGACTAGCAGTTAATGATATTAACTTTTTTTTGATGCAGATGCTGGAGACGAAGAGTGACCTAGCGCTGGGATAGGATTTCGGATGAGGTGCCTAGATAGGAAATAAGTGGTTGTACGACAATGCCAACCCCATCGACCATTTCACTGGCTTATGTCCATCTTGCTATTTTTTGTTGCAGTGCGATCACATGATATTTGGTGCAACCAGCGACCTCAAGAAGAGCGTAATGGGCGGTGTCTGAAGCGATTTTTGCAATATAGGTGCGTAGCAAACATCAGCGTCTATGGAGAGACAGGGACTTATTCGTTTAGTCTACTCCCAACAATGTCTTGTGCAAGCCGAAATTTGGTCGCCTTTCACAGGTTTTCTCACCACCTATTGTCGTAGATGGGAGCGTTTAGTGTACGGGTTGCTGAGGCCGGACAGCAGGTTTAGTCATTGTTGTTCCCTGAAGTTCCGAGGGCAGCCTAGCCGAAGTCCTCCTCAGCTCGTCACCACTCCAGGCAGTCGCCGTCCATGTGGGTCAGGAGATTCGCCACCATGCAACTAGTGTAATACCAGGGTTATGGTAATGCCTGATATTGGTTTGCTCTTAGCTAGGCTTTCGGACAGAAAAGTCTGACTCCTTTTCAGCTTGGGAGACCTTGCTGGAAAGATGAACTCTGCTTTACATCGCACTCCGATACCTAGAAACACCTCTAAGCCGCGATGAGTCAGTAAACCTTTAAGAGGACAATATTATTATTTTCAAAAGAAGTTAAAATGCTTGAGAATTTAGGAAACGAAATCCCAAAATCCATAAACTGAGAGCAGTTTGTTTGTTTCGTCAGGCTTTTGAAGAATGCTATTATTGACGATGGCAGTGATGAATATAATCAAGTACTCGTTCGGTACATTCGGAAGAACAAGAAGAACGCAGATAGTGTGGAAGTTATTAGAAGATCTTGTCAAGCTGGAATATCAATGTGTAGCTGAACGAGCTGAAAATAATCACTAATTTAAGTTTGTTTTTGCAGAGTTTTGAAAAGTCATATGGTAATATTTCAAGGATGGGGAAATAATGAGAGAAATCCCAAATGTTGAGAGTAGGATTGGCAAGCTTGCACAGATTCCATAAATTTCAAAACCAAAATGACGACTTAAAAAAGCGGATAGCAAAGTAATAGTGATGTGATCATGAGCACGGTACTTGTTCGTTACTCCTCAGATCTCACCAAGCCTCTCATCCCTCAGGACTCGGGAAATCGGGTCTGGGCTTGTCCGGGAAAAAAATTTACTCTTTGCAATCTAACTGGGGGCGCTCTAGCCCGGTTATCTCATGACTCCACTGAGAATCCACTCGAGCAGAATTTTATAACATTCAAGATGAAATAGAAATCTTCACTCGGCAGCCGAAACAACGTGCAAGGGTTGGAAAAGCTTCGTGAATGACGGATACGAGAAAACGGATCGAATGTGAAATCCTGGACCTGTGCATCCTACCTATTTTATACGAGCCGTCTTCCCATTTTCACATAGCATCGGACTTCAATATTTGAAGAAGATACCGCCTCAACGAACTGGTTCCGATCTCCGTGTAGAATATGTCATAGAGGGGCGCATTTAACGTGCTGGCTAAAGGTGCCCTCCAATACACACATGGTCCTTGGTTTGGTCCCGCACAGCAGCTCACCAACCCTTCCATCCCTCCGAAATCGGCAAAATGGTATCAGCGTTGTATGGAAAGATGATAACACAGACTTGATAAATCAGCAGGCTACCGTAATTCATTGCAGTGAACAAATATGTAGTCAACCACAGCTGCACTACGTTTCATGAAGTCGAAAACGAGACGCCTCACTCCGGGATTGGTTAACGTCTGAAGCATTGGCATTTTTTGTCTTTTAAGCTATCAAAAGGCTCCTATTCCGAGCGGAATCATGTTATTGTACAAGACGGTGCGGTTTCTAAAGCGTTCAGTAGGATGGACATACTTACACGATAACTTCATTAACTAAACATTATGAAGCTACCCCGTGCTAGTGTGTCCCATTTGCATCGATTTTAAGAAGATCTTCCTTTCAATGGATACAGAACCTGGTATAGAAGGCTTGACAACCACAGCGTCTTACTTAATTTACAAAGGATTTTATTATAATCACGAGAACTTCAGTTATACTGAAGCGATTAGTGATACGGTATGGATGCTCATTGATTTCGACTGCATATCTAGATGTTCGCTCTTTAACCGAACTTAAAGAAAACGTGCTGATGAGAAAAGTGCTTGTTCTTAGTGTCCCACTGACGGTCAATGGTAGCAGTATTCTTAAACGATCCACTTTAACATCATTCTGTAAGGAAGTTAGCGTGGTGAGCGACAGTCCCAGAGTTGAGAATAGATTCAAATCTGTGCTCTACGAATCCTCAAGCCTAAATACAGGTTTCAGCGCTCATATTGAGAGGGTGATGCTAAGTGTAAAACCTCCTTATCACGTAAATTAGAGGGAGAAATCGAAGCTATGTCGACAATTAAACGTCGGAGACACTGCCGCATACGCCAAGGCGTCAAAAACCGGATGGGTCTCGCAAGGTTCCCTTTGAGAAAGCAACGCTCACTGTGCTTTTCATTCACTCAACAATCAATAGGAGGTCAAGTAGTGTTTAGCATACTTATTGGTTTAATATTCAGACCAACATAGCTCAATATTCAACGATAACGGAGAACCAGATTTTTTTTCCGCAGTTTGGCCGATACGAGACATTCTGACATAGATGGATTCTTGTGACGCTGATGTTACATACCCTTGTCTACGTGAGGTTATATTTTAGTCCCTTACATATTATTGTTTTGTCGTATTTTTTGCTACTTACTAGTATTCGAAAGACAAAATTTGAATATATAGCGAGAAAAACACGCTCTGTCGTCAATATGAGGTGCCCTCATTTCATTTTCGGGTATTGTTACTGTCTCTTGGATCTGGACTTGTTACTTTTAATATTGATCGAATTGTTGATCTTCTTGGCTTGGCAGAATTGTACCATATATAAATCATTGTATAAAATCTCGTGTAATGTTATTTAACTCTGCAATTCTTACCACGACCGACTCTCTATTAACCTCGGCATTGATCGAATATTCACTGTTCTCCTGAGCAAACACGGGGTTGTTTCTCTATTCTTCATTGACAAACAATCTGACGTTCTGGCGGATTTCACTTTCCTAAGAGCCTGGAAAGATTAAGTTGACCGCTATCTACCTAGTCTCCATTTCCTGTCCAATGTAATTGAAATCTTGGTTTTTACTCTGTTTGTTTATGGAGGTGTTTGGTTGGGTAGATTGCGGTCAACTTGGCCTTCCCAGGCACTCGGGAAGACGAAATCCGCCAAAACGTCAGCTTGTTCGTCAGTAAAGAATAGAGTCCTCCCAACGGTTTATCGCCTCATCGTTGCTGTGAGGTGTTCCTGGTTGTCGGACTGCGATGTACAGCGGGGGATTCATCCCCTGGCAGGGTCTCCCAAGTTAAGAAGGAGACTGGCGTTTCCGTCAAGAAGCTCAGCTAAGAGTAAGCCAATGCCAGTATCCATCACCGTCCTGGTATCAAACTAGTCGCATGATGGCAAATATCCCTCTGATCCACAAGGGCTGCGACTGCCTGTGGTGGTAAAGATATGGGGCAGACTCTAGCCAGGAATGACCTCTGGATTCCGGGGAACCACAATGGCTTAACCAGCAAATCTCCGAAGAATGTAGATTATGCTGGAGCCCGCGCAATCAGTAAGGATGATCAATCATGTATCAAGTATCAAGTAGAGAATAGAGTGACAACCTCGTGTTTGCTCATCGTTATCAGGAAAGCAGTGAATTCTATTATTCTTGTTAAATATGTTTGGACAAATTCTTTGATGTCAAAGTTTTTCTTATATCTTCCTCGAGTACTCTTTTTGCTGTTCATCCTTCTATTGTTTGTTTATTCTTTTCTTTAGCTGTTATTTCACACTGATAACGTATTTTCAGTTGGCAAGAATGTCTATCAAGGAGAGATTAGGAATCGACCGTGCAGTTCCACATGATAGTTTTAGACAGCAGCATTGCGGCGTAATGAACTCAGAACCAATCTCGGTACTATATCCTACTCAAGAGACTTTTCTGTCTTTATAAAACTGATGTCATCGAACAGATTATTGATGATGTCAAGGACGAGAATGAGGAAGAGAACTACGAGGAATTGGAAGACGATGAAGAGGATGATGATGACCTTTTAAATTCGACTTCGCTTCGACGAGGTCATCAGGAATTCGACTGTGCAGGTTGGATTTTTAACGTTCGCGATCCTGGAGTTAAATAGTTTCCAAGAACGTGCTCAGTCGTATGCGATATACTAGGTCCGACGTCTCCTCGATGCTTAGTTTGCGGACGAACTCCAACTCCAAGAGTTCGTCTTTTCAAATGGCCGAAAGATTTGCAGCTTAGGAAATCCTGGTTAGATTTCCGTTTTCTTTCTTCTTGTATTCTTTGTGTTTTACTTCTCGGAAACGAATCTGTTGATTCTCGTATTCCCTATCCCATCTTTCAGTACTGTCCGTTCTCATTTAAAAAGTGTAATTCTACAAAGGTGATTCCTGTTGACGAATGATTGTTGATGGCACCATTAGGGTAAAAAGACTGGCTGAGAGAAAGGCAACGGAAGGGCCTTAGTGGTGCAGTGTGTAACACGTGACCCTCAGAAAAAGGTAATTGCGAGTCAGTCTGGCCTGGGGTCCAAGTTCTGCAAATATCTCAGCATCGTTGCGGTTGTATTTCACAAAATACCGTGCCGTGAAAGAATGAAGAGCAGTAGATAAAAATTATATATTGTTTATAAGAATATAAAATGTGCTTACTTAAATTCGTTATTCGTTTGCCAGTGATCATACAGGTCTTGGTAGATTTACAATTATAGGTTAGTTAGGATGAACAGATGAGAGAAAATGATATGGAGAAAGTGATATCAATTTTATCGCTCTACGTGAAGGCTAGAGCGAGTGTAGCGCAATGGTTGGAGGCGTCCTGCAATGCACATCATCGACACCCAGGCACACTAAGCTTTCCATCTATCAGAGGTTGACAAATCGGTGCCAGACTTGTCTGAGAGGATAGCAGCACTGGCTCGTTACATCGGTAGGCCACTGAGAGTCATTGTAAAGTACTTGTAATATGCATTCAATCACTTCGAAACGATGCTTAATAAAGTATAGTACATGGCGCATTCCTCAGGGATTGTTTAATGCCTAGAGCTTTATCCTTTATCCTTTTATGTGAAGACTGCCTGATTAATGGATCAGATAAAATGAATGTGTCCTTCGGAGATGGGAGAGATAAAGCTTGCAAAAGATTAGTACAGGTGTACAGGTTACAACTCGGGGTCACCTATCAAACTTTCCCACCATGTAGTTCTTTCCCATTATTTTCTTACATATATTTTAACTAAAGATCCCATTTTTACATCTGTGTACGTTACACCTTCTACATGAATTTCGTACTCAGGTTGACATTCTTTCATCTTGGTATGGATTATCTGGAAAATTGCAAGGATCCCTATATATGCAGTATTCATTTTGATGCTGATCAATTTCTCTACGAAGGAGATCGCATCTTCTGGAAGCAGAATCCGTTTCCTCGTTTTCGGCGACGTCGTAGTATGCTGGCTGAACCTTTTCCTTGGGACTTAGACGAGATCACAACGAGAAAGGTTTGAGATATTGAGTCCTATTCCGGAATTAGCAATTGACATATATAACAGTTTCCAATTGGTTAAACTCTAGTACTACTTAAGTTGAATTTAAATAAAAGACAAAAGGACAAGGTTAGTGGTAGAATATGACGAACTTTGCCGACTATCCTTTAATGTATTTAGTAACGTAAAAAAGGCGCTTAGCGCAGTGGTCGGAGGCTCCCTACAACATATATGGGACCGATCCGGCGCCTCAGGCTCACCAACCCCTCCATCCCTCCGGGCTCGGCAAATTGGTACCAGACTTATCTGGGAGGATATCAGCAGTGGCCCGATACATCGGTAGGCCACTGCGAGTCATTGTAGAGGATAGATATGCATTCAATCACCTCCAAAGATACTTAATGAAGTCGAATGCATGGCGCATCAGAGATTGATCAACGCCAAGAGCTTCATCCTTTCAGCGTAAAATAATAAACCCGTAATCTCGAAAACGATGTTCGAACAGCTGTTCTGCACGGTGGTCTCAACCATAAACCAAGGTTTTTCTAAGGCATATCTGCCAAGGCCATCTATGTTTCCTTTTTGCATACTTCAACCTTCATTTCTTGTTCCTGTTACCACTATTCGTGACATAATGAAAGGAACGTTTTTTCAAGCTGCCGATTCAAAGCAGTCATCCAATACGGTTGAACCGTGGTGTCGCACATGGATGCAAGGTCACTTTTCGAGAAGCGTATTTTAAGAGCAAGGTTTATCCCAGAGCTTCTTCATTACTACTATTTCATCTTGTTTAAAATTCTTTTTCAGTCGAAATCGTCGCATCCAGTGGCGGTAGTTTCACTTCCAGATAATCGAAGTATTTTCTACGAATTCTCATACACGAGAACGTCACCAATAGATTCTAGTAAATTCTACTCGTGCCTGACATGTAGACGTGCAAAAGCGGAAAGTGAGCGTCGTTAACCGTGTTCTTTAATTTTGGATAGTCTCGTTATCTCATATTATGCTTTTTAGCACGGATAAAAGATGTAATCCGAACCATTCACATTAAGGATGGGATTGTACGCAGTCGAGGTGACCCATTCTATGGGCACCACGTTGCTTGTCGACCTTTCACAAGAATGTCGTAAGTAATATCATCTACCTATTATGACTTCGCGTACTGTAAAGTGTAATTTGGAGTATGTATAGGACTCACTTTAAAATTACAGCCCGATACAATCTGAATCCACACATGGTTGTGCAGAGGATACTGGACCCATGGACTTGAATGACGATCGCCAATCGAGTAGTATGTAAGACACTTCTAACAAATCTTTATCATCACCCACATTACTCTGCATGCCAGATATTTTTCAGAACAGAGGTATGCCGCCCACCTAAAACACACACCGTTTATTGGAACAAGTTCCACCTCAAAGCTGTAATATAAACCTTTCACAGCAATATGGTCTAATTAGCAGTGTTTAGCCACACCATCACGTTCTTTTTCATCGTTTTAGCCTCGTAAGCAAAGATATCCAGTAAGTGGAAGTAATCTGGTTTCTGTGCTACCATCAACGCTGTGCTTCGTGAGACAGGTTAGCTGGACAGCAAGTTGTTAATGCCTTCCATAGCCAGCAAACTTCACACAACTAGGTATACTCGTAACGATACTCTCCTACTGCTGGGAGTACTTCAACTGTCACTAATCCGATGCAACCTTATGTACTGTGCTCTCTTCTTACTTTCACTTCACTTTAGTTTTCACATGACCCATCTTCACATCTACTGAGTGGATCTCAGCACTTCCTACATTCGATTCGTTTTCCTAGCATTCATCGTCTGCAGACGCCTTCGAATATTTCGCGTGTTATACCTTTTTATTTTCTGCCTACTATAATTCCGCGGCAGGGTACTAAACGAAATACAACCACAACGTTGCTGAGATATTTGCAAAACTCTGGACCGCAGGTGTCTATGGTGGGGAACGAACGCGCTATTGTCCTTTCCGGGGAGTAACGCGTTCACCACCACACCATGCGGGTCCTTTGTTTCGCCTGTCTCTCAGCTATTTCTATCGATCTTTGCCACAGCAATCACCCGTCAGCGGTGTTGTTGACGACTCCGTTTTCTTCATGAAGACGTTCTCATGTTGATTACGGTACAGCGCTGGGGAGTCGAACCATTACCTTGTTTCCTGATGAATTGGATCACTAACCACTGCACTACCCATTCCTCGCTCTCCTTACTAATAACTTCCACTTCTACTATTACTAATACAGTAGTTTCTCATTACATGTAAATTCTAGAGGAGGAGAGCTCTACCACTGCCACAGTGTCACCTTTGTTTGAGAGTTCTGCCATCCACGCAAATTCTTGTGCAGCATCTACAACTGCATATGGAATTGGCACCTAACTGCCGATTTTGCGGTTCCAAGTATGAAAGTTTACAATGCATCGAATATAATAGTTAAAGTCAAATCGTGAATATAAAACGGATTAGTGAAAAATCTCTAACGCGGCAACTGAAATTAACTAGATCCTTTTGTCTCATGTAGCTTATATTTATTTCTTGCATTATAGCAATTCGAGTACCGTCATGGTATTATTATTTCAGGATGTCTCCAGATGAACAAGTACGTCTACGGCGACTGAAAATTTGCTCAGTTTGTCTGAAAAAAGTGTCTGCTTAAAGAGCCATCTGAAACGCAAAAGTTCACTAATTTATTTCATTGTACAACTCAAACGTAACCGTAATACAGGGATAACACGTGCTCATATGACCTGCCAAAATATGAGATGAAGGAGAGCGAGACGTTATGCGACTATGTTGAAAACTACGAAACAATCTGCATGAGGTTCACAACGTCCCAGTTGTCGTTCCTGCTAGGCCGGGAGCACGTCCATCGCATGCAACAATTTTTACCCTGAAATTGTTCGCTTTAGTTCTTTTACGGATAAATTTAAGACAGCTTGCCATCACCTATCAACTGTACGGTCAATGGATCGATGAATGTCGCGGAACTCAATACCGTCAATTACGAACGTCCACACATTGTCACAGTATCGATAAGTGACTAACTTATCGGCTTTGAATTGTACCTTGAATTAGTAGAATATCTAAAGCGCATTCGATCGGCAATTCAGTGATTGTGATGGGCGATGGTCTTGTGGTCAATAGAATTTAAAACAGTGACTGTACTTTTGTACCGTACTATTTCCCACCACATCCTTTCGCCTTCTTCACCTGTGTTCAACCTTACTTAAACAATAGTATAAAGTATTTACGCAAGTGTTCATACCTACCTTGTTTTTAACGCGAAATGCTAAAGCCTTATTTATATTTTTGTCAAATGTGGTCAGTACTTTCATAGCGAGAGGTCGAGTGATCAGACCTTCCTCAACAAATTCGTCCAAAGTTCGACTTAGGGCAGTCCCCAGTGTTGTCTCTCGATACATTACATACGCCATCCTGCAGTATAAAATTGTGCATTATTCTACTAGAAGCAGTTCTGAGAATGAAACATTAAATTTGTCTATGCCAAAGCACAGATAAATTAACGCAACGGAAATGCCCGAGTTTTTGAACCTCTTCCACGTAAACCATAAAAATCTTTTATGCCTCATAATACATAAATATCTTAAAATCACAATAATAAACCCTTATAATACAAGATATAAATGCCAATGGAACATTTAGACGTCTTTGGAGAAAGTTCGGACAAAGGCACACATCAACAACGTGCTACTAATATATCACAATTGATTTGATCACAATACAGAAAACCACGTACGCTCGATAACAAATGTTAATAACTATGCTTACACTACCATGAAGACTAGTGAGAATCCTGTTCATCTGGGCAGGAAGAATGCTACCGCATTTCGCAACATGAGTCAACATACCTAATGTATTATAATTCTGTTGCATAAATTGCCGTGCGTTTTCAGAAAGAAGTTATAATTCTGGGAACGAGTGATGGTACAGTTACATTTGATATCGGTCTGTTTTCTATGCTAGCTTCAGGGATCGTATGCACCGGCAGCAAGTAACCCTATGAGGATGCTAACTTAGCTGATCCATCACATGCAACAAATTTCACTCTGGCCACACGAATGCTGTCACGGAAATCTACTCGCTCCATGAGAAATGTCCATACATTGTCGCAATGTCGGTAAGCTCGCAATTTCTCAGCCTTAAACATGTGTTCCAATATTGTTCAATCGATCTCTCACAGTACAGGAGAATAGAAGAGAGAAGAACGAACTTTAAAGTATATCTTGTTCTTAGCTTTCTGGGCAAGCGCTTTGTTGATTGCCTTGTCGTAAATGGCAAGGACCTTCACTGCAAGCTGCGGCGGGATCATTTCTAAAGACGAATGACGTGATATAATACCAATTATGTACTGAGGACATGAAAATGTATACGTTCGTGCACGAGATCATCAAGTGTCTTCTGCAGTGCCTCACCAAGAGTTGTATTCCTATACATCTGATAATAAGTCATCTGAAAAAACCCAATAAGGAAATGTAACATGAAGTAATAGAGAAACAGATAAGAACGGAAGAAACCTTTGCCTAAAAGCAACAACGCAGAAAAAATCCGTTCATTCGATATCTTAACCAACAATGAGTACAGCAATCAACATTAACAGCCCAACTTTACACAAAGGCAGAACATGAAGAACACAAGTGATTATAACAATAAGTTGAAAACTCGAATAGTTCCTCCACTTCCAGCTGTCATAAGACGTAGTGGGTTCGATCCAAGTAGCACCATGTCCAACACTTCATCAGGACCATTACCCAGTTCCTATCAAAACTAACCTGATACTAAAGATACACATATTCAAAACTATTCAAGAAAAAAGTAACCTTATGTAGCGAACCATCCCTGGCGTCGAATATTCTAACGAAGCCGTCCACTGAACCAACACACAAAAATGGGATATTGCTTTCCATTGACCATAACGCACGAACTATTGCCTATAGAACCAACATATTTATTCCAGTTCCAAAGTCCAGTAAACAAACCCATCCTTATTTTAGAACCGAAGCCTACCATTTTCATTTAAAAAATTATACAAACATAGTTATTTGGCTTTATCTTTTGTAGTTAGGTCATTTACGCATCACTCACATTGATAGTGAACCTTACATCTCACGAAGTAAATCCCACAATTACTCAAAAAAAAAAAAATTCACTCAAGTAGCCAGAGCTTGAAACGCAACAAACGTGACAGTAGAAAGTGCCATAACGGTCAACAGGAAAGACAAATAAATTACGAGTTATGCAAAAGAAAACGAATATGAAAAAGATCAAAGTGATAAAAACAATTTGTCACCTGTGATGAAGGAGAGGTATATGTGCTACGTGGTGTACTAGAGTTAGTCTCATAAATACACAACGTCCCATTGTTGCGTCCAACAGCCAACCAAGAATTAAACGGTGCAAATTGAACGCATTCTACCGACGTTTCTACAACTTGTTCGTCCAGCTAAATCAATGTTATTGTTGACATAGAGCAAACAAACCAAATGACTTCACGATAATACCTTGCTCACGCCTCCAGATTCTAACAGAACAGGAAATTCCATCGTTATCGTCAGTTTATCCGTGTGAGAGGTACTTAGTAAATGAACCGAACCTACAAACGAAGCCCACTTAACCAACTTGTATGTTAACCTTGGAACCCTAACTAAGTTATGTTCTAATAGTGTAATAAGGGCAACCAAAAATTATTGTAACTTCTGATGCTCATAGGTGATCACCATTTTCAGTTCCAACAACACCAATGGGTTGACTGACATGGTGGTGTAACGCGGTGACTGCTGCATTGAAAGCTACCATAGTGAAGGTTCCATCCTTTAGGCACCATAGTCCTAAAGCTCACATATACCCTGCCCTATACGTAAAAAAAAAACTTAGTTGAAAATAAGAAAAAAAACGAAACCATCCGACAATGCAACAAACCGCTTTTTTTCAAAGTAAAAAATGGAAATACAATGAAAACATAACCTTTTGTTCCTCCTATCCTATATAGCTCGAAATTCAATAAAATTCTACGAAATTATTCACATTTGCCGAACTAAGCCGTTTAATGACGAGCGTACGTGCGAGATGAAGCGGTACGACACGCGGTAAACTTTCACCTTGGATACTTGAACCGAATGCCTTCACTGGTTGTGCTGGCTCCCGCATAATCTCTATTGTTGGGAGTTTTGCTAGCTTCACCATTGGGTTTCCCTGGAGTCCTGAGGTCAGGCTGGTCAAAGTCTGCCCCGCCTCGGGTCGTCACCACTTGAATGGCCCGTCCTCACTGGTTGTGCGGGCTCCAGCGTAATCTCCACTGTTCGGAGATTTGATGGTTAAACCATTGTGGTTCCCTGGAATCCAGATGTCATCCTGGCTAAAGTCTGCCCCATGTCTTTACCACCACAGGCAGTCGCCACCATTGCGGATCCAAGAGATTTGCCACCATGCGACTAGTTTGATAACAAGATGGTAGTGGATACTGGTACTGATTTACTCCTAGCTGGGCTCCCGTTAGGAACGTCAGAATCCTCGGGTAGGAAGACTCTGCCCAGAGGATGAATCTCCTGCCCACCCCTCCCTCACAGCTGCGATGAGGCAGTAAACCGTTGTAAGGAAACTTTTACCAGAAACGACTTATATTTCGCTTCTTCATAAAATGAGCGTTGGATTAATGTATACCATCTATAGGATGAATCATATTCGTGCAAGTGTCTACGACTGTCTCATCTGGGAAGCATGGTGTAGCTTGCAGTGCACAGAAAGGCGCCTACCAAATGTTGCACGACGTGGCCATATATCGCCTAACATATGTCGGTTACAACTTGTTAGAATATTTCAGGTGTACACAACACTACTAATTAATTATTTAAAAGTTTTTTACTAGTCGACAAAGAAGTGGGCATGAAGCTTTGAGCGCGTGAACACTACGTGAAGCTTCTTAATAAGCTGCAGAGAAACTTAACAACCTGAATTTACTCAGTGTACAACAACAATACCATAGAAATGTGGTCCTGATAAGGCTATAACATGCTATCACAAATATTTACCATCTTCGGGAACACTACGCGAAAACGGGAATGGTATAAGCTGCAGTAATATGATAGAAACTATCCTGATTAAACTAACGCGAGGGTCCTACTACCTGCAATAATCAAAGATGACGTTTCGGCGATATCGCCTTCTTCAGGGCGGCTTTCTTCCTCAAAGAGTAAAATCGCCTTTCCGATATGTTAAAGGAAGAACCAATCAACTTCCAATTTCCAATAAGAAGAAAAAATGAAGCTCCTCGACACGCATTTGTATTGTTTTAAACACTATAAACACTTATACCACTATAAAACACGATAAACTGACATTCTGAATAAAGTTCACTAATATGTCAAACTACTAGCGCTTATTTCCACTCAATTATACAGGACAAGTTCGGCTAATATGAAGAAGTTCCCTATTTCAAAGACAACAAAATACTTTAAATAAAGCAATTCACCATTCTTTGTAGAAAAAAAGTAACACGACACGACGTAAACACAGATGTGTGAAGTTAATGTGACATTGTAAAAAAAAACCTAGCGGAGCTTAAAGACTTGACATTATTTAAGTTTCTTGAAAGCAACTGATAACCATTAATGCTATATACTGAGAAAGTGTAAATCAAGAAACGGGTAACTGACTTACTGCACCATCAGCATAACCCGCCAATAAACGCTTTCCATCCGGAAGAAGATCACCAGCGGTGCAAGGTGATCCGTTCCCACTATACACCTTAATTTTGTTAGATATATATGTTAGATCATACGCAACCTATAATAGAAAATTCATAAGCATCTAAGAGCATTTATTCAGCGGCGTTCTGCTGCATAAAGTACTGAAATGTATCTTCCCTAACACAAAATTCATAGTTGGTTTTCGATGACAAACGATTACTCGCCGATAAATAGAGTAATGGAATTGAAAACTCTATAGGCTTATAAAAAAAAATTATTGCTATAAGGAAATACATAAGCTTTAATGTTTAAATTTTTTAGCTGTAACAGTCTCAAAATTAACGAGATATAGATACCTAAGGTTTCTAATAATCGTGAAAGTCGCAAAACTCAACGACTTATTAGAGAACATCGTAACCTGCTGGAACGAATTCCTCTTCTTTAATTGCTAGCGTGTTCGAAATACAAGCTTTCACACAAAAAAAAAAGATGAAGGAAAAACGCAGCTCGGCTCCAGAAAGAAATTTGGCCTTGCTAGAATAAAAGGGCTCGTATACAGTAGGAAAACGTCTGTGGATCTTACTGGATGTTATTGCAACTAGTAAAGTTTAAACATGAGCAAGGAAAACCAGGTTTAAATCCCAAGATTGCGGCTACTTTCATGCTGTATGTATGGTCGCCAATGAGTTAAAATGAAAACATTTTGCTAAGAAAATTACGGAGGAAAATGCGAAGCTGGCTAGTTGTATGCATCAGATCGTAACCAGGACTACCAGATCATCGAGGACTATCTGCTAACATACGCTCGACATTCCCCTTGTTTCAGCGCGCATCGAAAAAGAAAATTTCTGTTAAAACTCGCATTAACAAGTCCTATCTCGTAGCAAACACTAATGAAAGAAAAAAACACTTTTCTCTGGAGCGAGTTCTTTTTGCGTCTTTTCCACTGAGTCTACCATCCCCAGCGTATAAAATCGATTTAAGAAGTGCCATTTATTCAGTGTCACCCCTTACGACCTTGACATTTCTGTGTCTCTGACGAGCATTGCAAAAAAAAAAACTTACAAATTCATGTGAAATTTGTTACATTGGAAAAATCACCTTCGACTGAGCCACACCTCCAGGTCCAATCAGCCACATCCAAATTATGCCATCTTTGTCTCCAGCAAAAAGAATGTCATTGGTATTATGCCAACACATCCACTCCAAATCATTACAATCGTTAATCTAAAAATATGGAAGTGATATTCGAATTAGCGATCTATACTGTCAAATTTTCCCAAGACCTAAGTGATCAAAAAAAAAAACACAACCTTGGCACGAGTGTTTAATTCGGACAACTGCGTGACTATAATTTTTCCCGACATATCTCCAGTTGATAGTAGCGATTGAGCATTATTGAATGCTACATGAGTTACTGAATCTTCGTGATCAATTCTCAGAACGGGAACAGAGTCTGAATAGCATATGACCAAAATATTGAAGAAATGGGCAAATTAAAAGCACAAAGTGTCAGAAGTACAAAACAATTTTTACATAATTTCTTGAAGATACATAAATTCATTCAAGAAGAACCTCCAATAGGTTAATAGTACGCACAATTTCAGCGAACTTATGTGGTGAAACAGAACGTACGGAAAGTTCAAAAAAAAGTACGACATCTTGAACAGATGGAACAACCAACCAGATACTTGATTATCCCATAGATAAGCCACATCGTCCTCTCCACCAGAAGCTAACCATCGTTCTGCAATAACAGCAAGTGAAAAACAGTCTTGTTCGTGAGCTTGTAAGGCACAAGAAGAGTCATCAATCACGTCACATGGCCCGACATCAGAAAAGCTGAAAGCGACAACAACAAAACTAATATGAAACCATTACAGTTTGTCGTAACTTATACCATTTTTGTCTCTTATGATTTCACAATACGAAATTTGTAAACCACAAATATGTACTTTGAAGTGCTCTGTTGGTCTTCGTCATCATTGCTGTACTGTTCATCGCTAAGTTTAGGAAGCTCATTGCACTCAAAAACCTGAAAAAGAAAAAACTGAGTGGTAAATTTACAGATAGTGAACACCGTAAAGTGAAGAAAGAAGAAACTTTATTATGGATACTTTATAGTACCAGTTTATTACTTTTGATAGAAACAATTTCCCTCGCTGATTTAGCACTAATGGAATCGCCCCCAGTGGTCGGGTTCACGACGTACAGCTAGATTTATCCGATAGCAAACATAAATGGAAGTCGATGTTATCATTGCAAAACCATTTCCAAATAAACTCACGTTTACCAAAAAAATAGGTCTTTACGCTGTTAAGCATTCTCTCTCTCTCTCTCTCTCTCTCTCAAAAAAGCGGAAACTACGGAGTAAGTATGACGGGTAAGAGGAATGGATTGAGGAACACTGAAATAGAAAATTGCTTCCATGTGACCTGATTTCCATTTGCACAATGCGAAAATAACAACGGATTTACGCTTTAGAACAATATGTCGCTGTTCAAAGTGAACTTCATTGATTGCACTAAAAAAGTACTGGAACCCAAAACTTCTGCTAAACGAAAACGAATCCCCCAAGATAAAAGCATTACTTTGTCTAACCGCTATGAAATTCCGATTTTTGAAACCCATCAATCACATTTTGTGTACTTTTTCGTCCACACTCGTATTTCAAAATGAAGGAGATTTACCAGGAACTAATTCGTAAATGAAAACAAGCTGATGATTCAAATGCGTACGATGTTTACATTTGACGGGATTTCGTTCGGAACATTAAAAATTTAAATATCGTATTTATTTCTTTTGGAAGTTAGAGTTCTAATTCCTTGCTTCTTCTATAATTACTAAGAAACTTTAAATTCTAAATAACAGCCGAAGAGACCGATACTAGCTCTTACATAGATAGAACAAAGTCTCTTCTATAAGCTGACCACCTCCTCAAGTAATCTCATCGGAAAATTATCAGCACTGCGAAAAACTACCGTTGGACCGCAAGGGTTAGCAACATTACAGCGCTTACATAGTCCAGATGTTTCCTATAAGTCCAAAGAACATGTGTTATACTAAAAACTCTAAACGTCGATAGGGTAACTTTGATGTGACGATCTAGTATGTTGTTCGAAAATTAACGACAAACCTTAAGTCGTATTGTTTTGGATATTATTTCGGTACTTTCTTACATGTGAGGTCCTTACATAACTGCGCATATCACATCACTTCCTGCATTTGATTCGGCTTCTCACATTCGTGATCCACCAAGAGATTCGAGCCTTAATGTGTCGGTAAGCCTGCTGGCTGTTGAATTTTTCTGTTTCATCGCGAATGTCGTTGAATGTTAGTCGAACCAATTCTTCTCGTAATCCTACTACACCCTCAGGTGGATTAGGTGGAGTTTGTCACAGACAACTCTGGTAATAATTTTCTGACCTCGGTGGAATGAGAGGCTTAGTGGATCCTGCGAGGAGTCGAACCAGCGCACCGCTACTGAGTTACAACATAAACTGCATTTTTTGACAGACAAATTCTACACTTTAAAAATTGGGACGTCAGATTAGCAAATTCAATAAACGTACTTCTACGAACTCGAAAGTGGTTGTTGCGCAATTTAAAGGGCAGGAAACATTTACGAGCTATGGGGCCAAAGAACCTTAAGCGAATAAACGCTGTAACGTTAGTTTAAAAAATTTTGTTAGGACGAATTCGTCCTTGAACATCACGGAGGTTGTTGGTGCCCCTCTGATATTGAAGACGGCGAATCGAAGGCATTGCTGGAATCAAATGCTCACACAACACTTCGAAAACTTACAGAAGAACTCGGTGTAACTTTCTCTAAAAGTTTGAAGCATTCAAAGAAATTGGAAAGTCGAATAAGTATGATAAATGGATGTCGTAAGAGTTGAATGAAAACCAAAAAAGTCGCAGTTCTGATGAATCGCCAGCTCTCCTGCACAACGTTATCGACTCGTTTCTCGACCGTATTGTGACGTCCAACAAAAATGCATCCTCCATGGTGAACGGCGACGATCTATTCAGTAATTACAAACAACTCTGCTTTTTATTAGACAAAAACCTGCAGAATTTGAAAGATTTTGTCCCGATTAACAAAGTTTACTCTGAGTGAAAACATGCCACTTTGAACATAGAGTTCTAAATACTGAATTAATTTCAGAACAACCTGATATCATAATTTCCGATGGTTTACACAAGTACCCAAATAAAGTTAAAGCCGTCAAAGCCAGGAAATTCTAAGCCTAAAAGATGCTATTTGTTTCTTCTGTAAAAACAAGTTCACAAATAAACAATAGAAAAATCAAGTTTGTTCCACTATATAAGTAGAACTGACTAGGAATAAAAGTAGTAGATTTCACCAATCATTTAAGCACTATTTATTGATTAAAGAAATAATTTACCTCTTTACGAAGAAAAAAAACAATATTTAAACGACGAAAAACTGAAGGATAGATGGAAAAAGTTACCTGTTCGACAGTCTCCTCATCATCCATTTTCACATGTGACGGGTTGCTACTTTTCTCAGCACGTGTTGAATTCTCACTAACGTGATTTCCGACAGCAAAGGATATCCACAGCGAATGCTTAAAACGGAGTTCTGAGCGGTTAAGACATTTGTCTCAAAATCACATCGAGCAATTACGAAGAAATACAGCATCAAAAAGCGTTACGCTCATGAAAACGAATTCTTAGGCAAAAAAGTGTAAAATGGGCTCCAGACAGCAATAACGAACAAAAATTTTCGACGCTTTAGGAGTAAATCGGTGCCATATCTGAAACGGTGGAAATAAAGATAACAGAACTCAAAAAGTCCTCGCTTCACTTCTTCTTTAATTTTACTACTACAGAAGTTTATCCCAATTGCCAATAAGTATGGAACAGGAAAGATATTCTAAAAAAAAAAAACTCAAACGAAATCTAATTTGTTAACTAAAATTCATAATTATTTAATGTTTACTGTGACAAACAGCTTCAGTAAAACATAAAGGATAAAAAGGATAAAGCTCTCGGCGTTGATCAATCCCTAAAGAATGTGCCATGCATTAGACTTCATCAAACATTGTTCGGAGGTGATTAAATGCATTTCTGGCCTTTACAATGACTCACGGTGGGCTACCGATGCGTCGAGCCAGTGCAGCTATCCTCCCAGACAAATCTGGTAGTAATTTGCCGACCCCGGATGGATAGATGGCTTGGTTGGCCATGGGCGCTGGGATCGATACCATGCGTGTATTGCAGGGCGCCTCTGACCACTGCACCACAAAGGCCCTTAAAACACACCACGTAATAGAATTGTATTGAGACTTATGCATAAAGTGCTCGAGCTCCTCTCTTAAAAAAAATCTCCGTAAAGGCGCACAAAAAGAACGTATCACGAAACCGCCTCCACTCTCATTTCGATCCTAATACAAAATCCTCATCAACATGTTCTCCCGCGCAAACGTTAAACGATTAACGGAAGCCCATGTTCCGCTGAGTTCTCTGTGACAATCAAAAGGGAAAAAAAACAAAAGTAGAACTGGCAATATCGCATCATAAAAAATTTTAACAGCTGTGGCAGCCTAGATACCCCTTTAAAAGAACGAGTAGCACTAACTAGTAGCATTATGTTGTTACAAAACGATTAAGATGCAATAAAACCTTATCAGACTATCCTATCGGAAGAAATTACGTAGAAATAGCGCGGTGGAGCTCCAATTCTTGTGGTAGCGCCTTAGCTCGGCTATCTCCAAGACTGCAAGGAGAATCGATTCAACCAGCATTCTACGAGATCATAAAGAACACGAAATCCCCATACAGCAACCGAACTAGTTCACCTAAAGTTCGAAGACTTTTTGAACGTGAATGCTAAGAAGATGAATCGAACGCAACAAACCACGACATTCATCGATATAGGATGATGGGTTTTGTAAAAAAAAAAATGCAGGAATTGATAAAAACATGTGACACGGGAAAAAGTCCATTGTTCAAAGCTCTTTCACAAATAACAATGCCACTACACTCCAAGTCCAGTAACGTTGAATATAATTCGAATCTATTTTCAGACTGACACTTTCCTTACCTCCATAGCTTACTCTATATTAAATCTACTAGAACCTCTTGAAGACCAATGCATTACTGGTGGGGTTACAATTAGTGAAGAACAACATAACAGAAAGAGTAAACGATAAAGTTTCGACGCTGATCAATCCCTGAGAGATGTGCCAAGCATTCGACTTCATCAAGAATCGTTAGGAGTGATGTGCGCATATCTGGCCTAAACAATGAATCGCGGTGGACTACCGATGTATCGAACCTGTGCTGCCATCCTCTCAGATAAGTCTGTTACCAATCTGCCGACCCCAGAGGAATGGTTTGGTAGGCGTTGGGCGCGGGATGGAACCCATGTATGTTGCAGTGCCCCTCTAACCATTGCGGTACACGCTCCCTCTAGAAAATAGAATGAAGACAAAAAGAATAGAATAAATGACGAGCAACAAGGAAAAGAACAGGATGACAAGGATAAATATGCCGTTCCAATGGCTCTAAATCGGTAATCGTTCCGTTCCGTCCTGTTAGCATCATTTTCACCACTACTACGCTCAACGCTTCACCACTAGTTACTAGGCAGAGGTGCCAAAGATGACTTCACAATTTATTACGCACCTAAGTTGCCCATATTTTGTATTTTGCATATAGTTGGCCGCATATCAAGATATCACCTACGATTTGTGCCTCTGCGGCGTAGCACAAATTATAGAATGCCAATCTATGAGTATACTGAAGAACGTATAGATTTAAAGAAACGATAAAGCTCTCGGCGTTGACCAATGCCTGAAGGATGCACCATGCAATTGACTTCATTAAACATCGTTGGAGGTGGTTAAGTGCACATCTGCCCTTTACAATGACTGGCGGTGGCGTGCCGATTTATCGAGCCAGTGCCGCTACTCCCAGACAAGTCTGGTACCAATTCTTCGACCCCGGACGAATGGAAGGCTTGCTGGGCCACAGGCGCGAGGATTGATCACAAGTGTGTGTCGCAGAGCGCCTCCAACCACTGCCCCACACGCACCCATTAACATACACATTAGATTTTAAAAACACATTAATGACTAACCATCCTTGACATACAAGATGAATTCTTCAAGATAGGTTTTCTTCCTTTACTTTGCTATTTAAATCTTTCAGTATTCGCATGAAAAATTATCACTGGGAACGTTCGAATCAATTAAAAACATTGAAAATGAAATTAATAAGAAAGTAGACGAAACATGGGATGAAATTAAGTATACGACGACTACAGGAGAGGATAGCACAGTGGTACTGATTGGCACCGGATTTGACCAGGAGAAAAACCACTACTCTTTGCGATCTAATTGCGAACGCTCCAGTCCGGCTGTCTGAGGACTCCAGAGAGAATCGACTCGACCACCATTCTAAGACAACACTAAATGAAAATCTTCAAGCAGCACTCGAAGTCATACGTAAAAGTTGGAAGACATTCGTGGACGATGGATGCCAGGGAACGAATCGAGTGTGAGAGAAGTGCTGGGATCCGAACAGTAGACGTGAAAACGAGTCGTGTAAAGTAAAGAAACAAAAGACAATGACTCATGGAGTACAAAAGATTGTGCTGTATAATCTTTCAAAAAAGCTTAGAGTGTTAAATGCATTCCAATGTGCATTACCTGTAACAACCTTGTCATTGATGACGACCTGTGGAACTACTTTCCGTTGATATTTTTCCACTTCATTTCCTCGGATAAATTTCCTTCCTTTCCTCTCCTTCCTTTGTTGGATTTGTCTAGTTAGACAGTCCTCAACTGACCGATAGAATAACCACAGAAATCGCTCCCCCACCTAAAAAAAAAGCTACTACAAAAGCAGCAAAGTAGTAAAACTCCCTCCGATCTGAGAATCGATGAGTGTTTATGAAGACTTTGGGAAGCTTCCCACCCAATGTTCAACGTCCCAGTGAGAAAAAAAAAAGATTCGGAAGCTCTCATGAGGGAAACAAATACGATTATATGCACAAAAATCCAGTTCCCGATTTTTTGACGATAGATGTGGGCCAAAAAGGTCTTATAATTCGAGGCGGCACAGTTTATAAAGAGCGCTTTACATGAAGGGGCACAAGTTAGAGTAGATTAACCAAAGCTGGCTCGAAAGTACGTATAGTTCCGACGACACAAGAACCTCACTTCCTATATGGATGGCAGTTGTAAAAACAAAAAAAACGTAAACAGGATGGTGTAAAAGAAGCGAAACTAATGTGGTGAGTGCCGGGGTGCACACATAATGTAATGATGGGCCATCTATGATGCAAGGTAATATTTTGGTAATTTACTCCGACTACATAAAGAACTAGCAAAGTTACTTGTGAAGACCAGAAGAGCCAAACAAGGCTATGCTAAACGTCATCAAAGGAAAAATTTGGTGATCGACAACATTAGCTCTGTATATGACTGCGATAACAACAGTCTGTCAACAAAGTTAAAAATTTAACATATATAAATCACGATGAAGATCGTGTTTAGCTCGACAACGTCCAAAAAACCGCTAGCTCCAACCAGTGGGTTACGGTGCGAACTACAACACGGGTACAGCTCAGAGCCTTCTTGCTTCATATTGACATACCCAGCTTCTCTTTCCTCAACCTGGTTTTCTTTTGAAAACAAAACGATTCATTGTTCAGTTTGAATCTAACTGGGTATGACAAGGAATTGGTGCACATGTTAGACAATTTGAAGAGACTTAACATAGCTTAACATGCGGAAAACCTTTCTTATCACGTATCATGAGCAGCTAACATGACATATGAAAGAACTGATACTCACAATGAACCCGTTTCTAACGAGTGGTCGGTCGAGTAAGCGTCGTGCATCTCACAGTATTCTTGTTCCGAAAAATTTACCAACGAAGACAGGTATATCACCACTGTTACAAATCCAAATATAGAACAGAGTATGACACACTTCTACTATGTTCCTAGCATTTGATCACAATTGTCAGTATTTATAATCAGTGCTAAGAACAAAAACATCCGAGCTGACAGAAGGACACATTCTTTTGGACCGGAGAGCAGTAGCCTGGTCACATGACTGCTCTGCTTGATATGAGAGTTGTTTACCATACAATGGCAGCAAAGTTTGAATATAAAAAAGACCTGCACAGATCGGCCTAATGTTTTAAGTGCTTGTGCCACCAGGGACGGTACGCAGTGTTAAGCCATTATAGACTTGGTTTTTTGACAAGCGATAAATTTCCGATAACTATAAGTGGCATGTATGCCACTATTTACTAGATTTTATTACGGTCCATTGTATAGACATACTGCTATCAAAATTTGGTAGCGTTTTGCAACGTATGCTGTCTATTTTTGCATTTTTTGTACCCACACATTCCAACCGGTAGCTATAATTCATTGCAGCGGTTATAGCTGAAATCCGAACCAACTACCACTAAACTGCTGGTAAACGAACTCGGTTGAGAAAAAATTTCTTGTATACTTCTAAATGCGGAGCTGAACTTTTCCTACTTGATGCCCGCCAGACGTATTCGTTTAGCTACTGACTTACTACAAGAAGTTTAAGGCAAGGACTTTGCAAACTATTCGAAAGAGAATGGCTCGTATAGAGCGCATATACACATTCAGGGTGCCGCAGAATGCACACTGTCCATCGTGTTTTAAAGAGATTTAGTCTCCTTTATGAATATTGCTGAGCGATGGACTTGATTCTCCATAACCGAAAGCCGATCCTGGAATAGCGTTGATAGGATGTTCTTAGGTTTAAACGATAGTAGAGAGCCCCGCAAAGTACTTTGGTGCCAACTCCACGACCCCAAATGGATGGTAAGACTGGTGGGCCTAGGGCCGAATATACCATAGAATGCTCTCATATTTAAAGCTCAGTTTCTAAGGACTAAAAATCGAAAACGTAATAGGTGTAGCTTCTAACTTACTGGTTAAGGCTTATCAAAAGTGGATTCAAAGATCGAAGACAAAGCTGCTACTTCATCTTTCTCTCCTTAGTACTCGGTAGCTTCGCCACAAGATCAACATTATTGCCAGCGTACCACATTCTAACAAACACCTAAGGACGAGATTAGCTACTGATACGACGCCAGATTAGGTTGAAAGCTATGTGCATTCATAAACTACCTTTTCAATGGAGTCTAAATGACAGCATAGAAACAAGTTTCAAGAATCTAAACATGGTGATAGACAATCGAGATCCAAAATTCATCCTAGTTCAGTCGTGTGGCTTAGCAGTGACACTCTTTAACTGTCGATACCGTCAAACATCTCCATCGTCGTTTAGCGAAGAGTTTCTCCATATACATATACAACAATAGATTGCACTCTAAAGAGCATCATAAGAACCAAAACCATGCTACAAGGAATACTCCAAGCTATAATTAAGTCGATAACCAGATTAGGGGATAAAACGGTTGGATGCTAAACCATAGCAAATTGCAACACTCCATGCATAGCAGATGCATTTCTTCCGACAAGCTGCAATACCAAAAAACAAAGACGCTGGACGTGTTAAATGGATAGAGGGCTCAATGATCAAAGCACAAATCAAACCGCAAAAAAGAACACTAGTCTGCAACCAGTGTTAGGAACCTTTAAAAAAAACTCCACAACTGAACGGAAACTTGGGTATAAATTTGGTTTCGTACCCATAGGGAGACTCGACCAATAAAGATTCGATAAGCATGCCAAAACAGGACAAAGCTGTGCTTTCAGATAAGAAAAAGCGAACCATATACCGCCTTGATAATTCGGTTTAGCGACATGTAGCACAACAAAGTAGGTAGTAGGAAGTCATCGATGCTCAGAACACAGACAACCACAGTGCGCTAGAAAGCTCAGGTAAAAACGTATAAAGAACCCCACAATAACATTGACCGTACCCAAAAACCAGTGGCTACCGAAGGTAAAAGCAGGATGAGATAGATAACTTTGAGATAGATAAAAAATGAAAATGTTGCAAATAAAAACACCATGGGCCGACGCGATTCGTCACAGCATGTGTGGACCATCGATTAAAACTGTTAGAAATGCTATAACCAACTACAACTGTTTAAAAAATACAACTTTTAGTAGACTCATCTCCTGATAAACCCACATAAAGTGGTAAACAGCAGTCTACTCAATATAAGGGTGGCTGAAACTTCGGCAGCTTCGTCTTCTTCTCACTCATGTAAGACTGTGAGGCTGGTCTCCAAACAATAACTGGAGTACTGAAGAACAATAAAACAGCTCTGAAGGCGGCGAAACAGCCGAAGCGTCACTCAAAATCGTATCGAACAGTCGTTACTGTAAACAACCACCTGTTTGCTCATCAATAAAACAGCGCACTATTGATCGATGGGTAGATCAAAGAAAAGCCCTGCGAAAAGAGCTTTTGCAGCATAGGCTTGCAGTAGCAACTACGATCCGTCGTCTAATAATCATGTGAGTACATGACGCACACCAGACGCGATTGACGACAATGGGTGGCGCGCGACGAACCGCGTCGCGGACGGATTGCGGAGCGTCGCGGGCCGTCCGCAGCGCGTATCCGCGTGCCTACGTGGCTGGTGACGGCGAGCGCGCAGCAACGAAAGCTAGTCGATAGTTGGCTAGGCGCCCTCGCGTGTCTCTACTTCTGCTGCACTGCTATCGTACTGCGATCAGGATCTGTTATACTCGTTCGTCGTAATTCCTTATGGACGCCGTAGACGGCGGATGACTGCTTTTCATTCATTCTACCCACCTAGGACGCGCGCGTGCGGTACCGCACGCATATTCCGTAGTTACACGGCGGGAGTACACCAAAATGGCCACCACATCGAAGTTGTCCTTCCGTGCCAGAAATCTCGATGCGAACAAGGGGATGTGTGTGTTCTTCGCTGCAGAACTCCCGGACCTGTCCGAATGTGCACCGATTGCTCGAGCAGTCGCTCAGATGCCGACCGGTATGGAGAAGGAGGAGGAGATGGTGAGTTGCAGCATGGCTGCCGTTTCCGCATTATTGATTCTCTTGTTCACGAAGGGCTCAGTTCGCGCTGCGCGCTAGGGTTCATTGTCTGCTTTGTCCTTTGAGATGTTTCGCTATTCATTTCGATATATTTGGTAAGTTGTTGTTAGGAATCTCTCTAGTATAGTCAGTATCATGATAGTTGTGTTCTCGTGGTATCGTATAGATGTCAAGGCTGATAGAAAATGATAATCCACATGAGAAAATAAGACACACATAATGGCCTTGGTAGATAGAGTAGTTGAGAGAAAGGCCAGACGAAGGACACGCATGGTGTGGTGGTGAACGCTTTAGCTCCCGGAAAAGGGTAATAGCGCGTTCGTTCCCCACCGCAGACACCTGCGGTCCGGAGTTTTGCAAATATCTCAGCATCGTTGTGGTTGTGTCTCACCTAGCAGCCTGCCGTGAAAAATTGTACTAGGCAGTAAGTAAAAAGTTAGCATTGTAAAGAACACATTTCTTTTGATTCTACACTGAGTAGCATGAAAATCGATTAACTTTCGGCGCAGCGTATATTGGCTGTCCAGCATTGATTACTTGTGGCCTTGATTGCATTTGCTACAAATGCTTAGATTTTGAGGATGAAAGTCATTTTTAGGAGTCTCACCTCCAAGATGCGATTCTTGCTCAACAGGCAAGCACATCTGGCGTTCGTGTCGACAATCATGTTATTCCGACGCCTAAGGTATTACCCGTTGACCCTGTTGGCTACGACGAGGTGTACCCTGTGCAACCTCCACCGGCGAAAGGCAGTCTTATAAAAGTGCAAGGTGTTGCCTTTCGTTTCCAACTGTAGTGCGGGATATTGGGTAACAAAATAAATTTCACGTAGTTCTTCAGCTTGGTTGGCATTAGACAAAGAAGAAGCTGAATACGATGTCGATTCTGAAGACGAAGGTTGGTTAGCCGAGAGGCCACACATCGATCCACGTGCTTTCGAGCGGATATTTGACACCCTTGAAGCAAAATCATCCGACAACAATATTTGCTTACCTGATACAGCAAGATCAGCTCTTTTGGGTTAGTGGGCACATGTTTCGACTTTAGTACTGTATACTGTAGTGGTGTTAATTTGCAATAGAATGTGTGTGCATGTTAGTTGCATGGCTAATTAATGACTTCTGTTTTTACCATTTAATCAGTTTGTTCTCGTAATTTCAACTTTGTCTATCTGTAGTTGTTTTACATTTGTAGCATTCGACGAGACTATTGTCGACGATGTATATGACTACTGGTTATCGAAACGGGAAAAGACCACGACAGTAAGGTCGTTGCAACTTGGGGTTGGAGGATTAATACCTCGTGTACGAACGGAATGCAGAAAAGTGAGTTGGTCGTCCATCGTGCACACTTATTTGATATGGTCATATTCCTTCGTGGGTGTGGGCTACAATCTGCTTCATAAAGCGATCAAAGTTTTGTTGCGGTCTTCCGCAACTGTCAAGTGCTCTGCCGCAAAGTTGTTTTGTTACTCCAACTTCGCATTTAACCATTTTTTAATAGTTCACTTATCCGGACTAGTTTAGGATCAGCAGGGTGGACTCAATCCGTACGTGGCTTTCAGAAGGCGTGCGGAAAAGATGCAGACGAGGAAGAATAGGAAAAATGATGAGGAGTCTTATGAAAAGGTCTTATGTTTAATCAGATAGCAGATTTTCTCTTATGTAAAGTGTACAGGTCGTTCACTGTGATAGGTTTTTTGTTCAGCATAGTTTTATATAGGTGTTGAGACTCGGACACCACCTTCGTAAATCCGTCACTCTATTCGATATGGTGAAAAGGCGAGAAAAAACGAAAATTGCCTTGATAGACCTCGATTCTGAAATTCTTGCACGTCGAATGGGGCTGTTAGATTTCGGCTCAAATATTTACAATCAGTTCTTGGCCAAAATTAGGGAGTCATCGAAACTCATGGGTGGAGTAGCGAACGGATTTGCTAAGTCTGAGGTTAGTCTTTACTATTAGTAGAAGAAATAGAACTCTTTCACTATAATTACATTATGTTTAGGATGACGTTCTGTTGAAGAAAAAGGCGAAGCGACGGCGAATTCGAATGACCACTAGTGTTGATCGAGAAGTTCCTAGTAAGGTACGACACACAGCATTTATTTGTGAAGTGACCGAAAATATATTCGAGGGATTTGCACCAACAACTCAATATATGGTCACCAAAATGTCGATAGTTAGATGTTGTTTGTACTTAAGGCGTGGCTGAGGAAAAATGCGGAAGTTTGGAATCGTCCGCCTTCTGTTTTTACGCCTTCTAGTATATCGCCGGTTGCGGAGGTTGACCAGTCTGCTCAAGCGGCATGTGAAGCTAATCTTGATGGCAAGTTCATATTTAAGAGAAGACGAGGATGTATATATCGAAGCCCTCTTATGCCGAATAATGAGACTTATGAAAAAGAAGTTAACGCAAAGGTACTGCTATTTTTTGAAGCCCCTTTGTCTTTGCTTTTTTATATCTATAAATTTTTAGGTCCCGACTTCGCACCGTCTATATGAGACGTTTCTACCTAATTATGTTGGCGTCATTCGTCGAGTAGGTTTGACTCGTCGAAGGCTGGGAAGGGGAGGGCGGGTGTTGTTCGACCGGTTCCAGTGTTGGGATGCTCCTCGCGTACCTAGCTCAAGTGATCCTTTCCTCAGTGGTTTTCTCCGAGATGACTCCGTGTTAGCAAATTTTCCTGAACTACAAATTTTCGGCTCCTTGATTCTTTTATCTCAATCGGTGTTCAGGTCTTTCCATGCCCGCATTCGGCCTTGGGAAGGAGATGATCACCTCCGCAAACGTTTTCCTTCATGGAGCCGAGCTATGGAAGAGGAATATGAGCAGCGATGGTTAGCAAGTGCTCATGTATCTTGTAGCGGCAAAAGTCCAACGCAGTTTGGCTCAGATGGTAGTCTTGTGCCCGTAGAGAGCATATCATCGAATCATCCCGTTACTACTCAGTCGGGAAACGGATTAGCGGGCAGAGTGGACTCGTCGACCCACGTCCCGACAAAGGTATGTCGTGAGAAATTTTTGAGTAGGAAGGGATTGCAAACAGTTTTCGACGCAGTTCAACCTGTTTCAGGAGTATGAAACTGTACAAATGTCGGATGAATGGCGAGAAGCGAGTGGGTCACCATCGGAGTCCAATTCATCGTCAGATTGGGTTACTCCGTCTATTGCTACTCAGATTTATCCCGTGTTGTCAGTTGAGGAGGAAGCCCAAACTGGTGATCATCCGATTGCGAAGCAACCACCCATTAGTATTAAAGGGTGTGTGGCTACACATAATTCATTGTTCGAACAAGGATTAAATAACATGTTGTGGTGCAATGCAGTTTAAATATTTCGGTTAAATCCGTTGGAAACTAGCAGTCAAAAATGAAAGAATTGCTGCTGAATGTGAAGATCGTGTGATTACCAGACATGGTACATGAGAGAACCGCACTCAAATTAGTTTCGAAGTGGCTCGCAAATGCGGATGTTTAGGTCCGTGGTGGGCGCAACCGAGATCGAGTACCGTAGTCCGTTCCTCCTGGCGCCGCCTACGGTTGGCAGCTAGGTTTCCGCTCTGCCCGAGCTACATGTACAGCTATTTTCTCAGTGGTGTAAATGATCTTCGCTTTCCCTCATTCAGTGTTTTACGAGGTCTCCATCGTGTTTAAGATATATGATGTCTTCTATTTTTATTTCCTTTTTTTTCAATTTCGCGATACCGTTTTAATTTCTTTTTCTGCACAGTTTCATTTTTATGGCTCTAAATTGACTGGTATGCGAAAATCGTGTTGTTGGATTTAGATTTTGTTCCATCAACTCCGACTTGTCTGTGATGAAACACTAAAAATGAATAAAAATCTATAAAAAGGCTTGGTTATAAAATAGGATAGAATTTTATCTCTGACTATCACAGGGTGTCCATATGTCACAGCATGCGCATCACTGAAGACGATTCGTCCACCCCATCTGTTGTCCGACTTTGAACTATTAGTATTTACATATGATTTTCTTTTCCTCATTTTAACACCGAGTCAAGGCTGCTTGGTTGCGATGGAGCTAGTGAAAAAATTTGCGGTGGAATGATGGAAGGTCCGGGTGTTAGCCCACGTGGAGCAACTGGGAGATGTGGAGCAGTAGTTGCTGATTCTGACTCGTTCTCGAGGAATCGAATAAACTGTTCAGCAAGAGAAATTCCTCCACTGGGTGTTGCGTTTCGAGTTGTGCCGCAAACAGCCTGGCGTACCTAAAGTTCATGTATCGAGTACCACGCTTAGGACAAGTTTCACAAAGGGAACAAGTGGTTACTTCATGTATGGTTGTCGGGTTTTTCAACGTTGTAGAAAAATTAACAGTCAAATTTGATTTTGGGAGAAAACATGGACTATTGATTGCATTGGAAACACTCACCTTCTGCACGTCCTCTGGTGGATATTGTAGGATACTCGCAAGAAGCATTGCTATATCTGCGCGTTTGTCGGCTGGTGCAGTAAAGTAACTCAAGAACAGTTGCCGCAGCGTAACGTCATCAATATGATAAGTTTCAGACGACTTTCGCGTAAATGCTCTCGCTTCTTCTAATTGAACTTCAAGATCCTCTGAAAAGTTCCAACTATTTCTCTCGATAGATTAGATACAGTTCCTATTTTAACCATCCTACCGACGATTTTTTGACGGGCATTAATAGAGCTTTTAGCATATTCCAGCAAATCTTCTACAGTTTGCTTATCCAAAGATAAGCGCTCTATATCAGCACGCAAACTTTCGACGGTTACGGTTAGTTCCTAAATGCTTTACATAACTAGGATCTTGGAAACCACGAACATAAGGCCAACTGGGTTTTATAAAATACTAGTTTCGAGTACCTACTCGAATCTTCTCCTGAAGTTGCACGTTCCTATGAGACGCGACTGCTGCTTCGCGCTCATGATCTGCTGACAACTCGCGTACAACAACCTTAGTCGAGATCAGGTGTTAGAATATTCCTTTTCTCGTGTTTAAAATGGAAATTTCAGAGAATCTTGTTAAGAACAAACTCGTTGTAAAATTGGAATTCAGATTATTCACATTAATTCGAGTAGTAAATAAAAAGAAGAGAGACGCCTTCGCTTCCTGTGGTTTACACATGGTGTGATCAACTCTCAAGATGGCAAAGTTTACTACAATACTGAAAAGCCGAGCCCGGCGAAATGCAATTCGTGACGAAATGTGATGAAGTGATTGATGATTGAAATTCAGGGAATTCCTAGTGATCCACGAAAAATACCAAACAAAGCAGGTGCAGACGGAAAGATAATGTGTGACAAGAACCAGAATTACTGTTCATGAGGATGGAACATTGAGACTTTACATAAAGTAAAAAGCCGTAATAGACAATATGCTCCGTCAAAGTGCCGTGCATTGGCCTGGTTGTGTTTTTTAGGGCTTGTAGAACTTAAATTAAGGAGTTCGAAAAATAAAGAGCGGGAAAGTGTAGACTTTTAGTAAAACTTTTCCAACCAAAAGTAACTTCGAAAATAACCTGCAGACTTGCTAAAGCGTCACTTGTCTCCCAATGCAATCGTTTTTCTTCTTCATAACGAGACTTCCAATCCCCAGCCGATTCTTCCGCAACCACAACACGTTCTTGCAATGAAGATAGTTCATTCTGAAGACGATTGATTAAATCAAAAAGAAAGATCCGTCTTTTAGGAATCCACTCAAAATCTACAAGGTTTTAGATTAAATCACTGTCATGCAAGCAAACCTTCATGAATTAAACATGACTTCTTCCAATACAATCGTAGAAAAACCAGTCCAAAAATAAACGGAGAGAAATCGGCAAAAAAAAAAACAAGTTATGGAATATAACGGATGAGCTCATTGCCGCTCATTTTACAAGACTCGTTTCTCGATCGTGTTTTGACATGCGATGAAAAATGTATCTTGTACAGCAACTTGAAGACTTTCAAAAAAACAAGATTTGCAGTAAGAAAGCTATGGTTACATTTTTTTTCGCCTGTTCGCTATATGCTGGCCAACATAGTACCGACCGTTGCAGTATGGATTATTTGTTGAAAAACAAATTATAATCAGCGGATGGTTGTATCAACAACAATCGCCTTGTATGAAGGAGCATGCCCTGGTGAGATTGCCTCATTTGAGCGGTGTTCCACTGAAGAAGACCTGTCTCGTTACGAAGATACAACAACGAGAGTACGAAGAAGAGCTCTGAGGAAGGCGAAGACGTCGAAGCGTTAGCCGAATAAACATAGACTGGTTACCGTTTGCTGATATACGATATGGAATCATTCACTGAAAATTTCCAAACACTGAAAAAACGATCAAAACAGAAAAGTACTGTCAGAAAATCGACAAAATGCGTGAGAAATTTCGGTTTTTATCCAGTTTCGATTGCACAACTGAGACCGCTAACTACTACTACTAATATTGAAAAAAGGCACTTCTAAGCAAGAATCATCAATTACTAAGTGACTGTTAAAAATGTCTTCGAAAAAATCGTCACTTCTAGACCTCTAGAACTTTATCTCACCAGGATAAATCAGCATGTATTTTGTTAAAATAAAAATGTGTAGATTCCAACCGTTCCTGTTTTGATTAGTAAAGTGGTGTTTCGTCCTATTAATCATGATTTGAAATTCATAACCCAAAGCCGCAATCACTTTTTCCTCAAGGTAATAAGTAGTTCCCAGGATCTACTTTCTATTAACCTCGGCACTGGATTATAAATGCTGTTTTGTTGTCCAGCAATCATGAGGTTGCTATATTGCATGCATTTACTCACATACGAAAACATACAGTAGAACAATAACTAATGTTTCGGCAATATCGCCTTCCTTACAGTCGTTTTTTACGTGCCTTTCACTGATGAAAAAACCTCAGAAATGAAATGATTCTTCCTCAGTGGAAGGCACATGAAAAACGGATCTGAAGAAGGCGGGACCGCCGAAACGTCAGGTACTATTGTACTGTGTGTTCACGCATGGAAATAAATGTATGCTTCATAACAAGCTCGTGATTGCTGAACAAGAAAACCGCATCTGTAACAAGTAGTTGAGAAAATCCATGCTTTAAGAGACTTGGCTACACTAAACAAAGTGAGAACTGAGACATAAGAAACGTGGATAAAAAATAAAGGATAAAGTTTTCAGCGTTGACCAATCCCTGAGGGATGCGCCATGCATTCAACTTCATTAAGCATCGTTTGGAGGTGACTGAATGCATATCTGGCCTTTACAATGATTCGCGGTGGCCTACCAATGTACCGAGAAAGTGTTGCTATCCTCCTAAACAAATTTCTGATACCAATTTTCCGACCACGGATGGATGGAAGGCTTGGTGGGCCATGTGCACAGCGATCGACTCCACGTGTGTGTCGCAGTGGCGCCTTCAACCACTGTGCCACACGCGCCGTGGTTAAAAAACGTGACACAAAGAATATTTTAAAGACGAATAACTTATGCAAAAAATGGGAGATATTCACATTAAGAAATGCTTTCATGTAAGAAGAATTTGAACACACCCTCATAGACTCGGCAGTTTTAGCAGAATCTGTGTCAGCAGCAACAATAGAACTTTGCAGCTGTTTGATTCGCTCCCTCAACTCAGTCTCACGTTTCTCAGCCTCCACGGCTTCAGTAGTTGATGTCTCTTCGACTAGGATCAAGTGTTCCCTAAGTCTTTGTAATTCGCGAGACAACTTTTCCCTAGACTCCCGTTCCCTAAATCAAATTAATTTCGGCGAATAAAAGACATTCGATCAACACTTGAAAGTTCAACTCCAAGAAATGTTTACTCTTTCAGTGCCTCTGCGACATTTTCGTCCTTCTCTGCCAATTTTTTTTCCAGAAAAGCAGTTTGCTGAAAAGCTGCTTCCAATCGACCGAAGTAGCTTACGCTTTCAGCATGTTTCTGCGTTGTCAGCTGAACAGGAGTGGTATTTAAACACCACAATCTGCTGATGAAACAACTTCACTGTTGGAAAATTTGTTACAGCACGCTTCAAAATCGTGCACAGCATGATGAGAAGAGCTTTTAGCATAAACATCATATTGTTCACACGTTTGATTGAGAAATTAAAAAATAGCACGCGAATTTTAAAAACCTCAGACCAAAAACCCTACTAAACCATCTGTTTATCATTAATTTCCCATTTCTATTCTTTAAAACCACTTTTAGTCACCTGAATAAACTATAAAAGGTAATTCAGAGAATTAGTAGGACAACAGCAAAAGGATAAAGGATAAAGTTCTCGGCGTTGATCAACCCATGAGGGATGCACTATGCGTTCGACTTCATTAGTTTGGAGGTGATTGAAAGCACATCTTGCCATTACAATGACTCTCGGTGGCCTTGCGATGTATCGAGCCAGTGCTGCTATCCTCCCAGAGAAGTCTGGGACCAATTTGCCGACCCCGGAGGGCTTGGCGGGCCATGGGCGTGGAGATCGATTCCACGTGTGTGTTACAAGACGCCTCCGACCACTGCGCTACACGCATCCTTAGGACAATAATACCTTTCTATTTTACTAAAATTCTACCTTATAATAGTACCCAGGATCGGCATTCTATTAACCTCAGCAATGGATTATAAATTCGTTGTTTTCTCTCTCAGCAATCGCGAAGTTGTTAAACAGCACACGTTTACTTCCATACAATAACACACATACAACATAATCCTAACTGACGTTTTCGCAAAATCGCCTTCACCTGAGCCTAATGCACATTAATACGCAACTTATCAGATCAAACGCTCCAACAGCACAAACAGAAGGATGAAGAACTGAACGATAAATACAAGATCAACAGCTTCCCGAAAAACACTGCTTTTTCACCTCTCTTCCACCGAAGAAGAACAGCCGCTCAGACTCGTATATGGTTGACGACAGCACCACCCCATCAAGGATCGATACAAAGGTAAGAGGCGAGATCATGCGTGATCTCGGGGCATTCCTCCCTGCTATTCACTGTGGGACTTTTCGTCGACCATGTGCGAATCTGAGCAGCTCTTCTTGCTCGGTGGAAGACAGGTGAAAAATGCGAAGGGTTTTCTCGAGAAGTCGCAGATCTTGTGATTATCGGGCATTTTTCATCTGTCTGTTTGTGCTGCTGAAGTGTTTGATCTAGTGAGCTGCGTATAAGTGTACCCTTCCAGGCTCTGAAGAAGGCGATTCTGCCAAAACGTCAGCTACAGTTGTGTTGTATGTGTGTTATTGTATGGAAGTAGACGCATACTGTTTAAGAGCTTCGTGATTGTTGAGACAGAAAACAACTAAAATTTTAGTTTATTATAATAATAGTCCTCGCGTTTAGAATAGAAACTGGTAAAATAGCTTCAAATGTTTTGCTACAATCGCATCCTAAAAATTCTAAAACTTTTCACACCTGCCGAAGTTGCTCGTTTTCCATTGTAAGTGTTTCCACAATCTTCGTCTTTTCTCTTATTATTTCGTCCGACTGTGCAGAAGCCTAATAAATTGAGGTAATTTAAGAATTTATTATTAAAGACCATAAACCACTGATAATTTCAAAAGCAGTGAAAGTTTATTTAATCGTCACATCAACAGGATTGCGGAATATTTTAAACGTACTTGCTTCAGCTGTGAACATTCCAACTCAAGACGTTCAATATATTCATTGAGCGCTTTTCCTGGTTTCACATCGTGTGCGAGGACTGAGGACTAAAATAAACCTCATGATTACTTTACATTTTCGGTACCAGGGTGCCATGTTCCTCAAGAGCATTTTAGCACGTAAACTTCCCCGAGTAAGAAAATAAGAAGTACTGCTTTCTTTGTAAATGAGGTAACAATACAATTCTACACATCACCTCAGTATTTATTTCGAGTAAAAATACTTGGATTGTTTGTACCTGCTCATTATCACTTTTTGGAGACGTCGTGTCACACAATTCCTCACCATTACCATTTAGCATCGAGTGATCGGGGACTTCCGGAACCTGGAACTTGTTCGCATCCAGAGCAGAGGAACGTAGCTGTGACATTCACCGAAAGAATACTTTGTATAATATTTAGGCATTTCAAATATGAAAACCAGAAAGGAATCTGAAAAGGGTTCATAATTATCAAAAGAGACCTTATTTTGACGTCTATAAAGGTTATAGACATGGTGTGGACATTGTATAGACGAAAAAGATACAGGGTAGCGCTACATAGAAATTGTTTAAAATTGTATTCCCGAAGAGAATGGCAAGTAGCGCAGCTGTCGAAGGCGCCCTGCACTACACTTGGGATCGATCTCCACGCCCCAGGCTCATTAAACCTTCCATCCTTCTGGGATCGGCAAATTTACCAGACTTGTCTGACAGAATAGCAGCACTTATGGTTCGATAGATAAATAGGTAGGTCATGGAAGTCATTTTAAAGGCTAGATATGCATTCATTCACCTCCAACGATGGTAAAGAAAGCCGAATGATGGCGCATCCCTCAGGGATTGATCAAAGCCGACAGCTTTATCACTTTTTATCCCGAAGTGAACAGCCGTACCCTTAGTGGATAGTGACGAAGACTTCAAGCGGTACCTAAGTCCCTATCTTACATATCTGACAGATGAGTAGCTCTACCACTAACAAATTTAACTTAATTGAGATATTACTATAAAATTTCATCACCACTAGAGACACAGAGCGTACTGTTGAAGGTTAAAAATACACTCCTTTTCCTCCTCCAATCCTCACAAATAAACGATTCTGAAACAGCATCCATCCATGCTCTTTTTTTAAGGCAACTATTACGACTTTGCGCAAAGATATGTTGAAACTCGCTCACAGACTTAGCATTTATTAACAACCATGTTGGATGACATTAACCACATCGCAAGACAACTACAAATTTGGCAACTATTACGACAATAAAGATAGCAGCAAACAATTCAACTGAGGCATTCTACATTTATTAGAAGTTGGCTCTGTCTGCCATTGCTCATATAAACTCACTACCTGTATGAGGGGTGCCGCTAGCGCAGAGGTACTTATGTTGTCCAGTGTGCGAAATGCTCTGTTTCAATCCCGCCGCGGGTCACTCAAGCTCCCCATCACCCAGGGCTGCGATATTTGTACTAGATCTCACTGGGACCAGTTCTGGTAATGGCCTACAATGAATATATGGGAAAGCTCTAGCACGGTCTTCCCAGGTTATATCGACTTAACCAGCAGTCAACGCATTAATACAGAAGATGAAAAATTCTCGATTAGCAGTCCACATTTGAAACCCGCAGAATCGTAGAATATGGATGCGATTAAACGAATCGAATGCAAGTGCTAAGGTCGACACTGCGGTCTCGGGTCATAGAAAAATACTGTATTTCCGCATGTTGTTTCCCAAACTTAATTAAACATCCTGTACGATTCTTATTGTTTATCCATCAATTAAGAGTCTTTAAAAACTATGAGGTACATGGAGGATGTCCTGTTTATCTGCTCATAGTTTGCAGTTTTTGCTTCATCTCCCTTTATCCGTTCTAGTGACATCTACTAATGTACTAGTTTTTTTTTTTTTTGTACTACTAGTTCAGCGTATTATATCCCTCCGTAAAAACCTGGTACCAATTTATCACAAAGGAATGAGGGAGTTCATTACGGGACAAAACCAAGGATCATGTACGTCGTAGCAACACTTCTACCAATTCCACTACACGCGCCTTGCAATATGGTATATAAAAAAGCAACGTATTGTTACATCAGAACAGCCACGCACCACTATGTAATAACAAAATGATTTACGTACCGGTTCAACGTGAGAAGCAAGATCGTTAGATTCAGGCTGTGTTCGGCTCAGCTTCTCATTAATTAAGTTCAGAGAACGATCTTTCTCCAAAATCTGCACGTAATGAAAATTCATTTATTGGGAAAACGCAAATCCACAGGAAAAATTACCTGTTGTTTAAGCTGCATATTAGTCTCTGCTGCGATTTGCAGTTGTACTTGCAGAACATTTGTTTGTGCAATCATTTCATCTACACATGATTGCCGTACCTAAAAATAATCGTAGTCAAAGTTTTGCCTTTTACATGCGGTCCAGAGCTTTGCAAATACCTAATCAAAGTCTCAATTTTTAGTAAACCAAGTGAACTGATTCAGAACACCGTGCATTTTTATCTAATACGCATACGAAGACTAAAAAGAAACAGAAGCGGTTAATTTGTAGTGACTTGGTATTCTCGCCTGGATTGGCTTGCAGACACCAGAAGTAATTAACCACTCTAAAGGGAACTACTACTTACCGTCACCTCCTTTTCTAAATCATCCGTTTGTTGTCTGAGTTTCTCACATTCTTCAGTTTTCTCTGCATTCGCGGCCAAAGCTTCTCGAAGCTGTTCAGTGAGCGCAGACACCTAGTTAAAAGTTAAAAATGTTTACCTTAGTTGAAAAAACTGGATAATCGAAAAGATTGAAGATAATGCAATATCGCATTCCTAGAGGAATGGATTCACAGTAATAAAATCACACTTCTTCTGTGTTTGACTGAGTAACTGCAATCTGGCTATTTTCTGTGGAGTCTTCCTTCTGAAGTTTACGCAGCGACACTTCTCTGTGATTTTCAAGTAGTCTAAATCAGTGAAGATTTGGAAGAGAGCAAAAACGTTGGATATATGATTAAAATACAAACGCAATCTTCTCTTCTAAGAGCTGTAATTTCTTAGAGTCCGTTTCTTCTTGTTTCTTCAAGTGTGCATTGACCTCGGATAGCAACCTGGACTCCTCAACGAGTAGCCTAAAATATCAGCATTTTTAAACTGAACTACGGTTTTTATCGACAAAGTGAATCTAACACTAAGGTATGCAACAGAAAACACTTGCTAGGAAGGCAGCATAAACAATGATCTATTCGGAAAAAAAGAAATATTCGGGCGAGAAACACTGAAGGATGATCTCAGCATTGTCACATAATGGTGTGATACCTGTTCCGCTCTTGCAGCATAGTAATCTCCTCGCGTAGTTGGTGATGTAAGTCATCAACGGCGGCAGTCCTCAGTTCAGCTAAAGACAACGGCGATGGGTAAGCTACAGTGTCACCGTGGTCACTGATCGTGTTTCCACTCTCTGTACCGTCATTGAGCAACCTCGCATAGCTAAATTACGGCTTTTTCTCAAACTACAAGCGTTAACAAGAGTCCTTAGGTAGTTTTTTGGTAATTAACGACAATTTCTCAATCATTAGTGTATTAAAGAAATTGATATTTTCATAAATTTATAGGGCAGACTTTGCTCTAACGTCTTTCTCGTTTATACAGTTTTAATGCAATTTCCTTCCATTTTTTAATATAGTGATTAGGACTTCCAAAACACCGATAGTGAACTTAGAACGTTTAAAGGTTCCTCATAAAACGCTGCAGCTCTAAATATCAACGATACATAAAGGAAACCATATTGTCCTGCTGGTTAAAACCCCACTTGTTCCACTATTTTAGTGCTTCTGAAGTCCATTTAATGTCATAGCATTTAACATCACAGTGGTGATAATGGTGCTTTTCTGATGGTTAGAGTATTTGAGAATTTGATGTCTTCACATAGTTATCGATTAGATTTTTTGATGTCGCTGAAGGAGCATATACAGTTTTCCGAAACAAATGTTTTCAATTTGAAACGCAAACGCAGTAACCGCAAACTCAACAGTGCACTCAAGGCATCATATGCATTATCGCATCCTTGCCAAAGATCTGTTCCTCTAACTGCTCTGCTTCTCAAAAAAAAATGCATTTTATAAAAAAAGGTAAGGTACAAGAAAACACGTCCTGCGGCCCAGAAAATCAAAATTTTGTCTTAATAGAGTAGTAAACCTTAAAACTTGGAAAAATCATAGATCCTAATAGTTCTCAATTAGTGAATCAATAGCTAAAAGTTAATATGTGAGGAGAAGTGTTTGACTGAACCCGAGATTACACACTGTTTCGACACTTATGAGTTGGCGTATAACTGCTTAAAATGTGGTTTAAAAAAAGGACAAACATCTTAACGTTAACCAATCCCTGAGGCATGCGCCATGTTTTCGAATTTATTAAGCATCCTTGGATGTGAATGAATACCTATCCGGTCCTTACAATGACTGGGGTGGCCCACCTATACATCGACCCAGAGCCTGGGATGCGGGCATCGACCCCTTGTGTATTGCATGGCGCCTCCGACCACTGCGCTACACGCGCAGGTTCGAAATGCATGAAAATATAAAAAATGAAAACGTGTTAATGAATCACAAATACCTAGGAAATCCAATCCATGAAAATCTTTCTCCCATACTTTACAAAACTAAATGCTTAGAAAAGTATAGGAAATTTGGCTATAATATGATCCAATCTTGGATGACTACAAATGTACTCTAAATGAAAGAACAGATAACTGAAAATGACTAACCGACCAATAACACCAAGCAATTCCGCGTTCTCCTGGGACAGTTGTCGATTAGAAGCACGAAGAGTATCTAGTTCAACATCGATTCCCTCTATTGCTGAACGAAATTTATCAACATCAGCACGAAGACGGTCACGGTCCTGCTTCGCCTGCTCAAGAGCTGTTTGGAGACGACCCATCTCGCCCTATATCCATAAGACATAAACAAGAAGCACAAATGTTTGAACCAATGAAGCAACAAATGGTAGATATTGTAAGGAAACAATCCGCATTTCCGATAGGCCATTTCACGGAAGAGACAAAAACAGATAAAACAACAGACATTGATAGATAAAGAGATGATAAAAATGAAGGAAATCTATCGCAAAAAACATTGCCTTCAATCTTTTGGTTAATGGTATTGCTTAAAAAAATATTGGAAGATTTTAGCATAATTCGACCTACAGTTATATTAGAGTCCTTTTGTTCTCGTACATCAGCAAAACCAGTTTTTAGTCTTTCGAATTCCCCAGTAAGTCGCTCAAGTTGAGCTACAGTTTCCAAGTTCTCACGCTTACACATCTCATATCTTTCCTCGTATTCGATTAAATTCGCCTTCAAAAGATCTGAAATATCCATTTCATAACAAGTAGATGAATTGTTGCAAAAGGCACTTTATTTACGTATTTTAAATGTGACATAATAAAACAAGGAGGCTAATAAATGTACTCCACAACAGACACCAGTGAAATACGAACAATGCTTTCGGATTTGATCGATCCCTGAAGGATGCGCCATAAATTCAATTCCATCAAGCATCGTGAGAGGTCACTCAATGCATACCTGATCTACACAATGATTTGGGTGGCCCGCCGATGCATCAAGTAAGTACTGCTATCTACTAGTATAACTATAACTCCGTTTCTAGAAATTAAGATTCCTTTTTTCATGTTTTTCTTTCACCGAAAAACACTAGATTGGCGAAACTTTTATTAGCCAACGTTTCGGACCCTTCCTTCGCCTTCTTTAGAGTAAGGTTGATCCGAGCCGGTTGTCAACAGCCGCTCATTCTTACGATATGGGCGTGTTGGTCGAATAAAGGTTTTGTGACCATTGTGTTACCTCACCAATGAAAAAATGAAAGAAGTTGATATTCCTGCCAAGATTAAGTAAAGATCGATTTGCAAATGTTCCTTTTTTGGAAATACAACAAAACTAACAGCTTCGAAAATAAAACACGTCTTCAATAAATCTGTAGAAATCTTTACACTCTGGTCACCGGACTTCGGTCCATTCGTTGAAAGATGTAATAACTTAAATTCACAAATTTGTCCAAGACATTTCCTTCTACTTGTTCGTTCCAAGTTTCAAAGTTGCTTGATATGATCGCACTAAGATCCTCTATCCTCAACGTTCTTCAAGCTGTGCGTAATAGGAATAAGGCATTTTAAAAATCAGATCCTCTCGCATTTGAAAAATTAAAGATTGCGAAAGGACCTCGCAAATGAGATGGGGAAAGCGATACATCCGATACCTCTATACATCACAAGTTCATTGTGTTCAAGTTGTATTGATAAAAACACTGTGCTTATCACTGGAAACTAAAAACCAAAATATAAGATAAACAGCATACAAATGAATATGGGAAATGGAATGTAAATCACACGATGCCAACAACTCTCATTCATTAAAAAAAATTTGAGCGTACTGTGTACCTATTCGACGGGTGAGATCCTGATTATTGTTATCCTGGGTATTCGAAGCTGTTGTTTCCTTGTATTTATCAAACTCCTCGTTCAAATCGTTGTAAGCCTGAGCTAGCTCTTCATGTTGAATTCTGGAATGATGGACTGGTAAGCTGGATACACAAAGATGAACGATACCTTTGGTTAATACGGAAAACATACTTTAAGCTGCCATATTCCAAAATTTTCGACTCCATTTCAGAACACGCTGCGCGAAGCTGAGTTAATTCCGTCTTAGTGTCTCGCAATTTCTCCTCTAGATCCGTAACATCAGATCCCTCAACTAAATCCAACACTTCTAAACGATCATCACATATATTTGAGGTAGCTGAAGCATTGGTTGTTGATGGACAAGCGCTCTCACGTTGACGAACCTATTAAAAAAGGCATACGTTGATTAAAAAATAACTGTTGATTAACAAGCACTTACTAAGCCTTCAAGTTTCCTTTTCGTCTCCAATAACTCTTCTTTTTCTAACAACACGGCATCAAGTAAATCTGTGTTGCTCGTTGATGAGGAAGCAACACCCTAAAAGAGCTTTATCAATTGGAATACAAACCTTCAGAATCTATAGCTCTAAGCCCACAAGATGCAATTTCTGCTGTTGTATTAGGTCACCCGAAAACTAATATCCAACTTGTAACTTCATTTTTCTTATGTACGTTGTAACAAGTCTTTCTTTCTAATGCTGTACTATCAGATGCCACTACTAAGCTCATTTTATACATTTTCGCTCTGTATGACTATACTATGACACAGACTGTATTTCCGACAAATTTTAAAGATTAGAAATCCTGACGTTAAAACAATAATCTCGACAAACACACTTATACGAATTTAAACTCCGCATCAGGATTCAATGTGAACACCTTCACTGTTTGGAAGCATCTAACGAAAACTGAAACGTTGAAGAAGCTCGGTAAATGGATGCTGCAAGAAGTGAACGGCAATCAAGGAAATCGCCGTTTAGAAGTATCGTCGGTGTTTCTTGTGCGCAACGAGAACTACCCATTTCAAGACGGCATTGCAGCGTATGACGAAAATGGATCTTCTAAAACACGCGTCAATCGAGTCAGTAGTTGAACAACGACGAAGCTCGGCAGTATGTCCCAAAACGAAAGCGGCACCACAGAAAGGTAATGCTGATCATTTGGTGGTCTACAGCTCGTTTTATCCATCAGTTTCCTGAAACCCATTGAGACAACTACGGCAAAGAGGTACGCCCAGAAAAACGATAAAATGCACAAAAAATTTCAACGGTTGTGTTCCTCACTAGTCAACAGAAAAAACCAATCCTTCCTCACGATAACGCGTGATCATTCGCGGCACTATCGAGTCTGCAAAAGTTAGACGACCTAGACTACGAAATTCTAACCCGTTCATCATATTCGTCAAAACTGTTGCCTACCGACTACCACTTCTCCAAGTATCTAAATAACTCCCTGAACGAGAAATGTTTCAGAAACCAAAGGGAAGGCCGATTTTGCCTTCAACGACTTCATCACCTCCACAGGTCCACGATTTTATCCAACTGGTACAAATAAACCTGTTTCTCGTTGGTGAAAATATGCAAATTGTAAACGTTTTTACTCCGACTAATAAAGTCTATTCAGTTCCGAGATATGCAACTTAGAAAAAAAACTGATCGAAATCGGATGTAGATTACTGGAGAACCTAACATAATAACAACATTTTGATCTTTTGGAGCAAGCGGAACGTAGTTTTCCCGCTTTCCCTCGTAAAATATCTAACATCGAAGCGATTGAATAGAGGAAATTTCGTCGAGTAGATCTGCATGGCGTCCCCTAAAGTTTTGACGTTTGCGCCTGTCTTACATGCGTAAATGGTTCATACAATATAAACTTTGTCTTCAATTTTCTAAACATGAACTTGGACTTCAGACAAACTTAAAATCGAAAGAACTTAGAAAAATCGTTTAGGTTCCTAGAGCGGTAGGTCAAGATATCTTCATAGAGCAATAAAATCCTCACATTTGACAACTACTTTATTGAGTGAAAAATTATCAGCATTTATCAATAACCAAAATCCTGCACATGTGTTAAAGTATCTTCAGCATGTAGTCGCTGCCTCGCCTCAAAAATATTTCTTCGAAGAGGTTTCACCTACAGTATTCACACTTTGTTTTGAAATGACGTTCAGAAAGGGGCTCGAAAACTCTTCGTGCTTTAAACGAAATTAATTCTTCAAAGGTTTTGATTGGTTAATTTCGTAATTCTTCTTCAAAAGCAAGCAGTTTAGTGTTTTATTTGGTTTCGCGCCAATAATATTTATCCACATGAATCGACGGTGAACAATGAAGTGTCGAAGAGAAAATGTTACAAGGAACTCTCCATTTCCAGGCAGACCTGCACCCCCACGGTTTTTTTCATGCGGTGTTCAAGTCAAAAGTTCTCTCTGACAACGAAACTTGCTCTAAGGACACGATAAGCATCGTATTTCTCTTTTAGCACTGTTGCGATAAAAGCTAAGGTAACAGTTGCCAATTTCGTGTACAACTCTCTAGCGGGGTAGAATAACACTGCTCTATTTCTTTTTCAAAAACTTGGAACATGTAGTTGTTATAAGTAACGTATGGAAACTGAAATCACGGTTTTGATTTGGATCGGCGATAGGTTTCCCTAAAACAACTTCAAGTTCAATACGAAACTACACATTAACTCGGCCACCTTTGTATATGGTGACGGTTGTAACCAAACGAAAGAATGGAATTAATAGTAGTTCCTGTACTACGACATGTGCAGACTTGTCATTCAGCTGACTAAATAAACAAGTAGTTGGTATTCTACTTAGAGTTCACTCAATGACCACAATACCCAACATGACTTTCACCTTGGGATAACAACTATGTAGACAATAAAACATTCTGGCTGTGTTTAATTCAATACATTAAAGCACCATTCTAAGGAGGAAATGGTGAGCAAAGTTATTTTGGCTACCTCCAGTGCAAAAATGCGTTCTTCATACATCTCCTTCATTTCATTCATGCTACGTGAATGTGATTCTACCAACGATGCAATTTCCGCCTCCTTTTGTCTTCGTTCTTCTTCAAGACGTTCCTCCAGTTTCTTGGTAGACGCCTAAATAGACGCAACTAATAAATTCATTACTTGTATCTTGCCATATCTATTCTGCAAGTAAGAATTAAGAGAAGTCATGATGCAACACATCCTTTGCCCTGAGTTATAATAAAAGGAACAAAAATGCAACCCCTTAACTCCCTCGCATAATCACAAATATTTGGATTTCTTTAAGAACCAGCTCATAGAAAAGAATACAGCTTCGCAGAACCACTTTAATGATTACACCACATGAATGACCAATGGGTATGGGACATAGGAATAAGCCTTTAGAAAATATGAACGTATAGGATTAAACCAAACTTTCCACTTTATTAATTGCAATTGTGCTGGCATGTCGACTATAAGTCAAACAAGATGACTACCGATCCCATTACTGGAAGATTCCAATTTAACACATGTCCTACTCCGTTGAGAAGTATAAATTTTAATCCTTGTATGAAGTGCTGAGATATCTGCAAAACTCCGGACCACAGATGTATGCAGTGAGGAACGAACACGCGCTGTTGTCCTTACCGGGGAGCAACGCACTTCACCACTACACCATCCGGATCAGACATTTTCCCGGTGATAATAGACCCGGATGGTGTAGTGGTGAAGTGCGCTGCTCCCCGGTAAGGACAACAGCACGTGTTCGTTCCCCACTGCATACACCTGTGGTCCGGAGTTTTGCAGATATCTCAGCACTTCATTCGAGTTATATTTCACAACATACCCTGCCATTAAGAAGAAAAAGGCAGTAAATAAAAGAGTTAAGATTTCAATCCTTGTGTTCACCGAATTGAAGATGAGGAGCAGAGAAAATGATTAAATGGTAAACAGCCATGTACCTAGAGAAATAAACTCAGATGACACATTAAGGTTCACCGTTTATTTAGTTTATCAAAAATTTCTGAAATAATCTGAAAACAAGACTTGACCGCTCGATCGAAGGAATCGCTGCCAAACCATGAGCAGCTTCCTCCCTATAGGAATCACAGCCCCTCTATGATCAAAGGATAGCCATTCTTTGCGGTGAAGACACACAAAGATTTTAGCGCGGATTCATTGGAATTTCATTTAAAAAAAGCCACGCTAAAACACATCCAATATGTCAATAGGAAAGGAAATTACACAGCTTAAACTACAACCGAATCAAATCTCCTTCATCGATAATGGATGCTAGACAACGAATCAAGTGCAAGAAGTGCTGGTGAATTTAAAGAAGGTCCACCTAGATAACAAGAAAAACAAGTACCTGGCTAAAAAATCAATCTTCAGTAAAACCATGATGTCCTACAAGAGTACCGCAGTGGTGCTGATGGTTTCTTAATGCTTGACACATTGCACTCGCGACACCAAAGAGACATGAGCTTATGGTCTAATTCCTTGACACGGGACTACTCAAAAAAAACATCATATTGGAGGTAACTGCAGTGTATTGCAATTGTATCGTATTCTTGCCCAGTATACTGGATGGGGACAGTTTGATTCAGAAGTCGAGTAAACTGGTCGACTGCGACGACTGTGTTCATTATCGGAAGAAGCCTACTAAAAAAGTTAAAGCAAATATAACAGCTGAACTAGTAACATAAAGAAAACTTTTTTCCGTGGATGATTCAGCAATTCTTCACAAGGCAGTCGTTATTGCACTCATCCTTGGCAGTCTGGAAGTCAATTCCAAGTTTTGTCTGCAGCGATGATGGTGAGAAGTGGTCAAGGTCGCGATCTCTGTTTACCATCGAACTGGATGTAAACAATGAGACTTTGACTTCGACCCCGTAGCTTGCATGCATACAACAGCAGACTTTGTGGAGTTTAAAAAAGCTCTCGGCATTGATCAATTCCTGAGGGATGTACCATGCATCCGACTTCATTAGGCACCCATGGAGGTAACTGAATGCATATCTGGCCTTTGCAATAACTCGCGGTGGCCTATCGATGTATCGAACTAGTGCCGCTATCCTCTCAGACAAGTATGGTACCAATCTGCCGACCCCGAAGAGATGGAGTGCTTGGTGGGCTTGGAGAGCGGGGATCAATCCCATACGTATTGCATGGCGCTCCCTACCACTGCACTACACGCGCCCGCTGTTGCGTAGTAGTGTTAGAAAATTATGATAAAGCATAGGTCAGGTTCGATTAATTAAAATCACAATTACTGAAATCTATACCCTGTCTCTTCTGGAAGCGTTCTAGAATAAGTTTGCAATTGTTAATAAACAAGCCAAATCCACTGATCAAAACTGATAAACGGATCAACTTGAATCAAAATTCATAAAATTTCCGAATCAAACGAGTATAAATAAGGAGAAAATGAAGCATATTTGCCGAATCATGCTAGTTTTACAAGAGTTATAAAATGTAGTAAAAAACAATGTCCTAGAACGATGCTGAAATTCAATGAAGCAAATGGTGAGGAACTGAAACAACGCAATAGGAAAATCCGTCTTACATTTCTCGCTCAGTTCATGAGCATTCCAAAATTTTTGCACGCTCTCAGCATTTGGGAAACAGTTCCACATAGATCCTACTCTGCGAAAATTTTGAAATCTTCTGAGCTGTAAAGAAAATGCTCCATGTATCAAATATTCCGCCGATTATTACAGTATGAAATTAGGACTGAAATATTACTTAGATATAAAGTTGTTCGAGCCACAATCGTCGCAGCTCCGTGGAAAAATACCAACTATACATGGATGTTTGCCCTCAATTAGAACAACGCGATTACGACGTATTAGACAATGAAATAATTCATTAAGTAAATGCCGTATGTTCAAAATAAACCTCCTACAACCGCCCTTTGGATATGTATTGTCCGTGAAATCGATTGTGTTTACGACCACCTAGCAAATAAGATGGTCCACTAACTTCCTTAGAGCCCAAAATTTGATCAGCCATACCAATAATGCAGCTACTTTATTGGTAGAATAAAAATTTGATCAAATGCTCTCTTATTGGTACGCAAAATGTTGTCCTTACTAAAACCAAACATGAAGCAAGTAATCTCCACTGGAAAATATATACTCCAAAGCCATTTAAATTAATAGTTGCTGCGATGTAATAGCTACCTACGCCATTTTTGTTACTGTCTTCTTGATGAGCAATCACGAGGTTGTCATTACAGCACCTATTTATTCGCAATAGCAGATGATTTGGTGGTTTCGCTCTCTTCAGAGCCTGTAAATGTCAAATTAACCCACAATCTATTCACCGGAACACTTTTATAACTTCAGTGGATAAAACTTAGTACAATTTCCAACTGCATAATAAACAACTTCTCAAATAAATTCTGTAACAACAATCTCGTGTTAGCTCATCAAGAAAAAAAGTGAATCATTGAATAAAAGAAAGTCGATCCTCGGATCATCTCCATTTTTACTTCTTCTTTAATAAAGAACCGCAAGACAGTAGAATAACTGAGCTCCGTGAGACAACGCAATTCCAATGTAAAAAAAAAGAAATAGATAACCTTTTTAGGCTCTGACTCCACAAGAGATTTCCAGTGGGATACCTCTCGCTGTAAGTCCATTATTGTCTGCTCCATGGTTCCGCTATCACCATCTGACTCGCTCCATGGATTGAGTTGCAAGCGTTCTAATTCTGTCTGAAACAGAAATAAGAAGCGATGGGTATGGTGTCTACATGAGAAGGAAATCGAAAAAGATTAACCTTCAACTTTTTAATTTCGTCATCCCTGGTCAGTATCATAGTCCTATGCCGCTCTGCTACTACGTCCATTTCGGCATGTGAAGCCGACAACAGCTGTTCCTGCTCATGTAGTCTTTCCTCCAGTTTTTTGACTTTGGACCGCTCTGCGATAAGCAGACGCTCGGTTTCACTGAGCTTTCTATTTGCTACCTGGAAAAAATTTACAATAATGTCCAAGTAAGTGAAGAATTTGAGGAAACACAAAACGGTAAAAATAAAGAACCTTCTGAAAGAGAGGAGTATAATCGTCATCTGTAGCCGGCAGAATGGGCTTAATAGTCTGCTCTATCCACCCGATAACTAATGGGACTTTGAACTTGCAAGTGAAGAAATTCAGAATAAGTTACAATTTATTTGCACATACATACACAGACGACACTAGAAGTGCACCGGCGGATGGCAATCACGGCGAAAGTGCATTGCACAAGAATCACGCTTTTTTGCGGATAGACACCTTATCAAGAGTTAGCACATTAAGGCTACCTTTCCTAAAAAACTGATTGAATCCACGATTTTTTTTCCGTGGTGAATTTTATCAAAACAATAAAAAACTAGACAATAGAGCTCTCGGCGATGATCGATCCCTGAAGGATGCGCATGCATTCCACTTTATTAAGCATTGTTGGAGGTGAATGCATATCTGGTCTTTACAATAACTGGCGGTGGCCTACCGAAGTATAGACCCAGTGCTGCTATCCTCGCAGACAAGTCTGGCACCAATTTGCCGATCCCGGAGTGATGAAGGGCTTGGTGTGTCTGGGATCGGGGATCGATCCCATGTGTACTGCAGGGCACCTCTGACCACTGCGCTACACGCGAATCTGCTTGGGGGTTTCTCTTCCGTATTAAGCGAACATAAAACTACTGCAAGAGAAACATAAAACCTGGAGCTCTGATTCTGCGTCAACAACATCATCTGTCGCTTCATTAAGTACTTCGTTCGCAAGTTCGGAAAGCTGCCCCTGTAGGTTCCGAAACCAGCTCATAAATGTGAAGAAATGTCTGAAACTTAACAATGATACGGATAAGATATATGGGAAATGCCTAGCTGCAACGAATTCCTAGTTAGATGAGAACCGTACTCTAGCATTTTCCAACAAGAAACGTAACAAGAACTATCGACCCATCTGCCTTTTCAGTGAAGATGGCACTGTCCTGGGAACTCACAAAGGACAGAAACTACACGCCAAAAATCCTGCTTACAGCTACGACGGAAAGTTGCTTTGTCCATTTTTTCTTCACAAAACAACTATGGAATAGTTGCATTGAAGGAAACCAGTGGACGTAACACCACTGCCTTATAAACTAAACTCTACCTTTAAGGGAAAAAATAACAGCATTTTTATGTTAAAAAACTACATTATAAAATTCTAGAGCCTAGTGTAAATTTTTGAGGCAGCAACCACATCCATGTGGCACTGGGTGATGAGATGAAAGAGATGGAATCAATACGGTTGGTATGACAACTTCAAAACCAACACGATATAGTCACTTTCCACTTGTTTCCTACCCTTCTTTTCATGGCAGGTTATGATTTGAAATAGATAAGCACAATGATGATGAGATATCTGCAAAACTCCGGACCGTAGGTGTCTGCGGTGGGGATCTAACACGAGACTACCGTTTCCGGAAGCTAACGTGTTCATCACCACACCATGCGGATTCTTCGTTTCGCCCTTACTTTTTCTACGCTATAACATGGGTTTTCGAGTTTTTCAGAACCTGGAGTTATTCTTGAAAGATGTGCAAAGCTAGTATTAGCTAAGCAATAGTCATACGTTACAATGAATTGTCCCATGGATTGAAAGCGCTTCTAGACTTGCAAATCGGCATCATAAATCGGCCCTTGCCGTGATAATGTAAAAAAAGGTGAGAAATATGATGAGAAATTATGGATTGTTCTGGATTGAACAAGCGAGTTTGGGTGGGTAGTATTCGACTGCTTGCATCATACGGAGGAGGAAACAGGTTGATACGCACGACGGTACGAGTCGAAGCCGATTCCAAACGTCTGGTGAACATTTGGTATGATATTACGAGTAAGGAACAATAAGAGAATAAGAAACGATGAATGCAAAAGATCGATGTGACTCTCAGCCGGTGAACACATGACCTCCATCAAGCTAATGATACAGCGGATTCATCGAACAAGACGTAAACATGCGTGGTTTCTGTGGCTGCGGGCACTACATCTTCGAGCCGTGAACAATGTGCCAATTATGCTGCTAGATCTCTACCCCGTATCTTTACCCTTCGTGTGTCATTTACAGCACTTTTGAAGTTACTTATTTATTGAAGTCGAAGTTGCTGACGCAGTCATAGTGTTTGTAGTGCACTTCCTCCACGAAAAAGAATCATTTTGTTCAGCTTATTGGTGCGTATATTTGGTGTACTCTGCCACGCCAGACAACCCTTTAGTCGGCTCATTTCTGGATAGCTTCTTTCTTGATATAATTTCTTCCTTGTTTGAACTTTTCCGTTCGTATAAGAAAGACTGGGAGACATGGTTTCAGTAATTGGATGTTAAGAAATGGAGGAGAAACCACGTTGAATTTTGAGCAAACCACTTCTTGCTGAAGTATTTTGTAGACTAGCAAAGTTTTCCAAGAGATTTGGTGATTTCTAGTAACCCTGCCCAACAATATAGTTTTATCTTCGTGTTCTAAGAAGGCTGATGAACGAAGGATCTTTATATGTCGACGCGATCGGTGATGTTACAGAAGATGTTGTACGGGTCAGTGAGACATCTCAAATTATTGTGGCACTAATTAGTCAGTCTACATTGTTCTGTAAAGTGTATTTTTGCATTGTGTCTTGACGTCGCCATTTTAAAATGTTCCAGGATAGTGGGTCTGAAATTAGATCTACTCAGCTATCGCCTACTTCTACTCTTACCTGTGAAATGTGTCAGAATTATGAAATCAGTTTGACGTCAATCCAGGTAATCTGTAGATATGAGTAGATTGTCTCTTGAACATGGATTTTTAATGGAAGCATGAATGGAAGTTTCTGGAAGAGTATGTGTGAGGTTATTACACACCTTTTTTCACTATGTGCCTTTATTTTTATGGACAAGCTTCACATCTATTGTGCATATCCTAGGATTTCTTCTACTCAGTTGGTCCCTGGGTTTCCGAGCATTCGTTATCCACAGAATTCATATTCGCTAATGGGATCGGTTGCCATTTGACAGATTTGCCTTCTTCATCGATGCTCTTAAATGCCCATGGAATTGTTCTGTTATTGTAGGGTATCTCTGATTATGCGTACCCAGTTGTGCACTATGGCATTCGCTGGCTGTTTGGATCGAGAAAAGCTTTTCCTGGAATAGTTGGATACTTTTCCAACGGTTTATCGCCTTGTATGGGAGGTGTTCCTGGGTGTCGGGCTACGATGTACGGTGAGGAGGATTCATTACCCTTGCAGCGTCTCCTAAGCTGAGAATGAGTTCGGCGTTTCCATCAGGAAACCAGCTGAGACTAAACCAATACCATGATTCACCACCGTCCTTGTATCAAACTAGTCGCATAGTGACAAATCTCCCTCTGATCCACAAGGGAGGCCACTGCCTGCGGTGGTGACAACCTGGAGCAGACTTTGGGTAGGCTGACCTTGATACTCCAGGGAGCCACAGTGGCTCAGTCAGCAACACTTCGAAAAAATGGAAGTTGCGCTGGAGTCCGCACAACTTGTGAGTACGGGCCATTCAAGTGTCCAAGCAAGTTGGACACCGTTTTGCTGACTGCTCACTGATGGGTCGATTGGTTGGCCTTTCCGGTGTCGATCCAGTGATCATATGCATATTGCTTAGCATCTCTTAACACTAATTTCTGCTCTTTTTACAGATTAACTATAGTGCAGTAAGTGTTAAAAGTAACTGTAACAACGGATACATTCATGTAGTTGTCTGTTTGTCAAAGTAGCAAGTTTTAGCGTCATAATAACTAATGTTGACTAGCGGATCTAGTAACTTCTATTACTCGACACTTGAACGGCCCGTCCTCACTAGTTGTGCGGGCCCCAGCATAATCACTATTTTTCGAAGCTTTGCTGGTTAAACCATTGTGGTTCCCTGGAATCCCGAGGACAGCCTGGCCAAAGTTGCCCCAGGTCGTCACCGCGACAGGCAGTCGCAGCCCTTGTGGATCAGAGGGAGATTTGCCACCATGCGACTTTGATACCAAGACGGTGGTGGATCCTGGTATTGGTCTACTCTTAGCTAGGCTTCCTGATGGAAACGCCGGACTTCTCAGCTTGGAAGACTTTGCCAGAGGGACAAATCTCCCGCTGTACATCGCAGTCCGACACCCAGGAATACCTCCCAGCGACGATGAGGCGGTAAACCGTTGGGAGGAGTAACTTCTATTTCAAGAAGTAAATCCTGAAACCAACTAAACGTTCAGAAATTCGATGGTACCTGGTCAGTATCATCGCTTTTTGTAGAAACTTCCTTAATTACTAGGAAGCGTGCCATTTGTCAGTACCATATTAGTAAGTTAGCACTAGTGCCATATGCTTTATATACATATATATATATTAATATGTATATATATACATATATGATGTATGAATACCTTTAAATTTTTAGATCTTTCAGGGATTGGTCAACTCCGAGAGCTTTATTCGTTTTTTTTTGACCAGTAGGTTAGTGTTAGTACTAGTACCAGATCTAGTGTCAAACTCACTGACTGTTCTTCTCCGAGTGAGCAACATACGTTACAACGATTTATGAAATGAGCATTGACGCAAATAAACATTAGAGAAACACCGAAGAAGAAGGGGGAGCTGAATGTATTACCACAAATTTAGTAGTCGAGATATTTGGAAGGTAGCATCTCCTTGCATATCAGTGCTGGACAGCCGTTCTTTTTAAACTCTCCACTTGTTACAAGGAAGTACTGTATTTAGCACATCGAGTTTTTGGAAGTATATCAATATGCTGTAATAACCAAAATGTCTGGTAATACAACCACAATGGAGCTTAGATATTTGTAAAACTCCAGACCGCAGGTGTCTGCGATGGAGAACGAACGCGCTGTTACCCTCTACGTGGGATAACGCGTTCACTACCACACTGTGCGAGTCCTTTGTTTTGCCTGTTTCTCAGTTTTCATGTGATAGTCTGATCATTATTTTCACAAACAAATTTATTTATTATATTTACTCAATGTTCACTTTTTACGGCTTTATCGTAGAAGGTGCTGTATCTTTCTTATAGGACAATGAAAGAAAACTGCGGGAAAAGCTTAGAAAAACGGAATTTTTAAATGACCGATTTGAAGATGAACTTGCTAAAGAGAGGAAGCATAGAATAGATGTTGAAAAGAAAATGGCTGAGGTTTGTACATCTTTTTGTTTCTTCTTCTCTTCTTTCTCCTCTACTTTTCTATCAAAGAGAAAAAAGTAATTTGTGGTAAGACTTACAGGTTCTTTTGTATCAGAAGTAAGTTGAAACAATTATTCCCCGTTTTGATTTACTTAGTTTTGTCAATATTGGGTATTTAGGAGAAAGCGGAAACACCAATACTAATAGAAGATGAGTGCCATTTTAATTATCTCACCATCAGTAGTTTAATTAAATTTCAAGCTTTTTTAATCTCATGTAATGTTCAATTCCCTCATGACTTAATGATTCCTATCGAAATATTTTTTCTCAGCTCGACCATTCGCAACTGTTTGTTTTTTCTTGGGACGCTTCCTTTCTAACAAATCTTTCGCTGTCGTTTTGGGTTTCATCATATTCATATTTTAGAGCTTACTTTTGCGCAAAATTCAATAGAAAAAAACTAGAAAAACACTGATAGGCAATCCTCTTTATTCAATAAAATGGCCGATATCGGTTTGTCTTGGAATCACCTCCACAAGCTTCTTCCAAGGTGTCCCATGACAACAACAAAGAAACAACGGCATGATCCATTATTCCACTGCGAAAATTCCAGCTTGCTTCCCAGTTTACGGACGATTTAAAGAGTGCTATCTCTGCCAACATGTTGGTCGAGAACCGAGTTAGAGAGCTTTCTGAAAAACATCGAAGAGAGAGGGTGAAGTTGTTCGAACAGCTAGAGGATGCTAACCAACTATATGCTTGTTTGGAGTTGGATATCAAGAAACTGGCTAGCAAATACCAGGTATCTTTTTTAAAATTGCTTTGTTGTGGTTCTTCATTTACTCACTGTTAGCACAGAATACAATAGAAACAAACCAGAGCGATACTAGGAACAAACTATATAAATGCGAAGTTAAATTCTTCGGTCTTTTTTAGCAACTTCTTGGAGCTAATCGTGCTACTGCTGCAGAGATGAGAGCGGAGCCCATAGATTTACCTCAAAGTGCTGACCAATTGCAATTTCTTTGTCTACAAATGAGAGAAGAACTGATAGAGTTGAAATCTGCTCGACAACATGAGCGCGACGAACTGCGTGATGAGATTGCACTACTAAAGTAGGTATTTCATTCGACGAATATTCATTTTCCACTTCTTATAGTTGTGTTTTTTTCGTGCAAAGCGTTAGTACAGTTATTCACTTAGGTTCCTAAAACATTCGAAACCATCTCACATTGATTTTAATGTGTGGGTGTCCAAAAATACGTTGGCGTTTCAGATTTACAAGGAAATCTTGTCGTGAAAAAAACTTCGTTGATTAAAATGATGAGGTTTAAGGATCGTTGATGATGGAGCCTTTGTGTCGAAGTGTTGAATTATTCGGCAGAAATGTGATATAGTGTCTATGAAGCAGTACTGCTCTGCGGTTGACCTGTCTAGGTTGCGATGTCGATTAACTGAGAGTTCTACAATATTAGTTAGACTGTGGGTACCGCAGTGTGGTGATCTTGTTCATTACTAACAAAGTCTGAACAATCCATGCGCTGGTTCGAACCTAAGCTAGGCTGACTAAACATCCTTTCTCTCCGGGATTAGGGAATAGGTATCATTGTCTGCGACAAATTCACTCCCTTTAAGCCTGTGGGAACGCTCTAGTCCGGCTATGCCAAGATTTCAGGAAACTCGACTCGACCAGCAGTTCGACGGCGTTTATAGCGAAAAGAAGAAATCCAGCGGTAGCAGCCGATCGATCCCATAAGCAAAAAAGTTCGGAGACCTTCGTAGAAGATTTGTGCGAGGAGCGATTTGAAAGTAAGAAGCGTTGGGATCCCAAGGTATCTGTGATGTCGGATCGTGTAAAAAAGAGCAATATATAGGCATTGCCGTTGGAGGTTAGCTTTGCTGTAGTAGCGTTTACAAATCCGAGTACCCGAGTAAACGGTGTACGGATTTTGCGACAGTCGTCGGTGATAAGATTGCTGCTTTTTGTGCAGGAACACGGTCTTGCTGGTTCCCGTGGATTTCGTTAGATACCGGAGACTCGTGACGTCGAACTCTACGAGTGAATTACTGCTGTAGATTCAACGAAGCAGTAGTAGGTGAACCGTCGACGTCAAGTTTCGAAGAGGAAAGCAGAAAATTGACTAGCAGCTACTTGCCATTGCCTACGTGGGTTTTCGTATCTCTTATCTCCGAGGCATTTACTCTACAATTGGGCGAGTAAACCTTTACATGTATGTACGATGTAGACTGGAACACGATAACTGAATCAATAGACAAAGATAATATGAAGAGTGAGAAGTTACAATGACCATAAGAAAGCACCTTCTGCAGTAGACTGATGAAGAGTTATCAGAAAAACGTGATTTGTAGGAATGCAACTCAAATCAGAACAGTAAGAAAAAAGTGCTAGTGCAAGACGAAACAGGAACTTTTTAACTTTTTTCGTCGGGTTGGTGTCTCAATGGAGTACAAGCTGGAAAAGAAGGGTCCAGGGTGCAGTAGTATTCATCAATGACGAGTGCTTGAGACTACAGCGCTAACGCTAAAAATTTTGAGAAATGTTGTCCTAACAATTTTTAAAACTTCAGTATTTCGATGGGACGTGTAATATAAACTTTAAATTACAAAGAATCTTCCGGTGTCGCTCCCAATGAACAATTAACTAAACCTAGTGTTATTTGCTACTTTCTCACTTTTCCTTGAAGGTAATCGAGCATCTACTGTAATAAAAAAAACAGTATCTGTTAAGAAATCGATAAGGATTCTAGAGAACAAATCGAAGAAGAACGAAATGCTAAGGTGGTGATGGAGCGAGACCTCCTAGCTCAAGTCAATCACCTGCAGACACAGTTGGGGATCGCAGCAAGCAAAGTACGGTTTTTTCAATCATATTTATCTGGACGATCTTGCAAATAATTCCCTGTTTTGCAAACATTTCACTCAACGACTTACTGTCGGAAAGTCATAGAAATGTGTACGTTTGAACTGACGATTCAGCTTTCTTCTGCTGATGCGATGGCGTTGTCCAATGAATCTCATTCAAGGCAAATAAGAGATCTCCAAAATACGGTTGCTGAACTTGAAGCACAAGTGAAACAGGTCAGATTTTTTATAGTCAACACGTTAACCCATTTCCATCAACGTAAAATCGCGATATTTTCATTTATACGAGTAAGGGAGTGTTGAGGTACTTTTCGTAGCGCAGGATTGTTTCACTGATGAGAGTGGGTTGTTGCATACTCCGCTCACCTCTGTTATTTTTACTGGGGCTATCGCCTCACTTGTTTTCTCAGTGATTTTCTTAAGAATTATTGTTTTCAGGTTCAAAATGAACGAGCGGCTGTAGAAAAAACTGCTCAAAACTATAAATCACGGTGTTCATCTCTACAGACTGAATTGGATACATCAGAGGCCGTTCAGAAAGATTTCGTTCAATTGTCACAAAGTTTGCAAATACAGCTTGAAAAAATTAGACAGTCAGAACAGGTGCGGTGACCTGTCAAGTAGTGTTAGCGAAAAACTTAGTTTGCATAGCAACTATCCAGGAAGTTCGATGGCAATGGGAAGATGATGTGGAAAACTGCTCTGGTTGCGCGGTATCTGTCGCTAAGATTAAGCCGAGACCAAGGTATGCTATTCACTGATATACACACAGATATATGCATATATATACATACGTAATATACATATATATAATATACTTGGATGGCTCGCTCTCACTGGTTGTGCGCACCCCAGCATAATCTTCATTTCTCGGAGTTGTGCTGGTTTAGCCATTGTTGTTCCTTAGAGTCCCTCGGTCAACCTAGTCGATGTCTGCTCCAGGTCGTCATCAATACAGCCAGTCGCCGCCCTTGTGGATTAGAGGGAGTGCAACTAGTTTGATATCAGGACGGTGGTGGATACTACTATTGGTTTACTATTAGCTGGGTTTCCTGATGGAAACGCCGGACTTCTCAGTTTGGGAGATCCTGGGGGGGGGGTATGAATCCCCCTCATTACATTGCACCCGACACCCAGGAATTCCTCCCAGCCACGATAATGTGGTAAATTGTTGGTATATATATATATATATATATATATATATATACATAAATAGATATATATATACATGCACACATACATGTGCATACATGTGTATGTCCATATATATGCATATGTGTTATTTTCCCTCAAAATAGTACGAACTGGTTGAGTTCTTGCGTTTCAAGATGTTTACATTGCTGTAAAATCTTTTGCTCAACATGTGTACAGCACACTGTTCCAAGTGGACCGACTCGAAGACCTGCAAATGTTTGTCAAGTCTGTCATACACTTCTTAACAGGTTTGGTTTTCTTAACTTTTTGTCATCGTTCGTACTACGTGTATTCTACAAGCGATAAATTGGTGGCTGTAAGTAAAGGTCCTCTTAGCAGTTGATTTCACTAACTTAGAAATTGTCCGAGATTCCCTTTTGAGAACTTCCTTTTGACTCATGCAATTGACGTGTTCTTTGGCGAACCATGAAGGAACCAAATTCTCTTCGAAGCACAGAACGCTGCTCATCACACATATTTGGAGTGTAGTTGCTTAAGTTCACTCAATACAGAAAAACTTCTAATCGTATGCTAATGATGCTGCATGTACATCTAATCCATCAAGATTTTCACATGTAGATTCCCACCTCATTTACTACATTTGCCAACTTAGTTACTGTTGTTCTTACAACGTTCTTATTGTAGGGATTCAAAGCCGTTCTTCGCTGTGGATCCAGCGAACTAGTCTCAAGCCACAAAAGAATTGTTTTGTTTATAAATTATTCAAATTTCTTCAATGAGTGCATGGTATAAACAAGAGTCAGTGCCATCCCCAGTGCACACGTCCAGAGAAATGAGGTGAATGGGATATGTGATTGTCACAATGTATTCGTCTCTGTCTTTCTTTGCTTCTCTTATGGTATCATTAATCATAAGCTTAATGTCTCCGTCTGCTTTGACATTCACACGGCATCCAGTGCAAGTAACATCGAGATTAAATATTCTGAAACTTGTAAAATCATTTTCCTTTAATTTAATTACTCTAATCGACACAAGCATACCGTATGCAACTGCTTCTAGACAGAATTAGGTGGCCATACATGGTAGGCGTTGGCTGCGATACTGAGCCGAGAAAGTGGGGTTGAAGAGATATCGAACTGAGACGAAATCTCTTAATACGAGCACTATGACGTTGTTGTATACATCATGGCTCTTCAAGTTTTCTATGTGAGTAACTCACCATCTCTCCAAGGTCAGCTGTGAATCCGGCACAAAAGTTGGTAGAAACAGGCAGTTCCAAGATAGGTCGTACGGGTGTATACAAAACAAGTTTCTTCCAAAATCTTTAAAAGGACGACACATATCTGGTCAAAATTAGTTACCATAGAAACTTACTTCAATCCATATTCTATTGGATTCGCGGTAGGGAACTTCTGGCAAATCCATCCTGGGGCAAATAGCGCAACAGACATACGCATTAGGTTTGCTTTCGCGAACGACCTATAGCAGTCCCAGCCACCTATATGTACTTATTATATAACAGAACTAGTTGACGATAATGCTAGTGAGTACAAACCAATACAACCCCTGGCAAAGCAGTCTATGCCTATGAAAATTTTATTAAGAACTCCAAAGTCAGCACTGTTTAGCAGCGTTTCGTCGGTCCAGTTGTAATTCAAATATATACCATCACAAAGTTCGTACCATGCCCTAGAACCGTACCATTGTTGATCAGAAATATATGAGGACAACGTGATCACTTACTTATTCTGCTCATTAAGCATATTCTGCCATTTGAGCTTTCCTGTAACGGTCACAGAATCGTACCATATGACTCGAGAATATCCAACTGCTTTACGCATACCCTCAGTTAACAATCGAAGGAAAAGCTTCATATTGTTGATCTGTTCGGTCTACTAATGAAATTACAAGTAAATAACATTTTCAGAGCAGTATTCGAAATTGTTACCCTGATATCGTTTTCTATATTCATTAGCCATCCGTCAAACTTGTGATGGACTGCAATAGCAATAAGACGATCAACTGTTTTTCTCACTTTTTCCTCAGATGCTAAGAATTCCTGACATAGTTTACTACCTCCTTTCCATTCTGTTATGAATGTACCAAGCATCAAGCAACCTGAATGTTAACAGTAGTTCAACAGGGAGGGGTTGGCAACTAGCGTGTACAAATGGCGAACCATGGATGTGGGCGACACGAGTATACCCTGTTGGTGGGATCGTGATGAAGTTGTGCGAAAAATAACAAAAGATATCGATATTCCACCAGTTCAGGAAGACATAAGGATTAGAAGCAATTGGTGGAGAAAGTACGATGCCATCATCACTAAAGAAATGGAATTTAACATTGGTCTAGATTTTTGAGCTTATAATAGACAATGAAAAAAGGATAGCTTCTTAAACTAGAAAGCTTAATGTTCTGACGAATGTGGCAGTCAACTACCCTTCTGTTACTCATAATGGAATCCCAGAAACCTTTCTTCCTCCAAGTATCCTCCTTTCATATCGTGGCAAACCAGGATTTCCGGCTTCCTATCTGCTAGCTTGTCTCTGAAAGTACATGTTGAGGAAACTATCTATGAGTTGGATAAATGTCAACTGTTTACTACTGAATAGTCCTGTGAAGGTACTGTTGAACTATACCTGTAGTTCGTCAGTCGTTCCACCGTAACGTTTTCAGCTTTTTCTTGATCCCAGTCCCATAAATCTTCCAAGGAACATATAGGCCCCACCATATGGTAATAATCGGAAACAAAAACATCAGCAGAAAATTGTATGGAAGAACGGAAACGATAGCGTCTTTCTCAGAATTCATCAATTATTATTGGTCAGAAATGCCCTGGATCGGCTTATTCCAGTTGTTATTCCTTAATTCACACAATGTAGAGTATGGTCTAAAAGTGCTTAAATCCATGAAATGTTCGAGTGGCGATACGGTTTTGTCCGTGTGGAGCATACATAGATTCAGATGAGCTATCGGAAACACCCAGAACACATGAGCTAAACAAGTTTTACGGTCTCAAGCTCATTCACATATTTCTAAAACAACGAAAAAGTGCTCAAAACTGGGTGGATTTCTGAATAGTGAAGAATGAAAAGTACACAAAGAGAGGAAAATAAACAGAGGAAAGGAGAAATAAGGAAAGATACATGCAATGGTGATATGTTTTTAACGGTTATCGTCGAGTACAAGCTTTCCACTCTACATGTTTCTTACAAAGCTGTACGAACTCTTCGGGTCATGAAGATAATTCAGCTCAGGTCAGCTGTCCCTAATTTCGTGTGAATTTCCACGATATTATGACATTGAATTTACGGCTTAAGCAACTAATGTACGTATAGCTATGACTAAAGGTCAATATATATACAGACAGCTCAAATATTAGTAAGCGGCAACAGTGTGATAGGTGTGAAAGTGGTGAATAAGTGCGTCATTTATGCTGCATCGATCCACGGACTTTGCAGAATATGGTGAGACGTCCGAACACGCAACTACGGAGAATGTTGTTGTCGTTACCCAATTGCCATCTGGTTAGCAGCGAGTATTAACAAGCTTCCAAAGTCAGAACATGACAGAAACATCAGATCACAGTGTAGGAACTGACAAAAATTGGGCACAAAGCATTGCGATGTGTTTAGAGTTCGTATCACTGTGAAGTCGATGACGCCAAAGAGCACTAACGAGTGATCTAATCCAACAAAAACTGGTGAGTGGCTGAACTTTAGATGTAATTATTTCTAACGGTACGTGCGTTTACAACTTTTTGATAGCAATTTCAACCTAGTCGTCTTCGAAGGATACGAAGAGTACCAATATTTCCGTAAGAGAGTCTTTATCCCTGACATTAATAAAAGGAAGGATAAAGCTTTCGGCGTTGATCACTCCCAGAGGGATGCGCCATGCATTCGTTTTCATTAATTATCGTTAGGGGCGAATGAATGCATATTTGACCTTTATAATAACTCGCGGTGGTCTACCGATGTATCGAGCCAGTGCTGTTATCCTCCCAGACCAGTCTGGTACCAATTTTCCGATCGCGGAGGGATGGAGGGTTGGTGGACCTGAGGCGCAAGGATCGATCTCATATGGATTCCAGAGCGGCTCCGATCACTGCGCTACTCGCGCCCATTACTGATGTTATCGGCGAAACTGTAACGAAGAGTAGCTTACCTAGCTCTTCTATGAACGCTGTTGTATATATTGTACGTTATCGAACTTTACCAATGTATCAACAAAGATCCTGTGTGTTAAATGCGATTCGGGATCGACACTCATGTTCTCAGTAATTTCATTCCTGGCCATTTGACCAGGATGTCGAAAAGAATACGACCTTTAGCATGAATACGACTATTTGTGTGAAGAAGGTATCAGTGCGATATAACTGAAGAAAGGAGTCCATTTGATGAAATCACCTGTCTACGACTCGACGTCTCTGGCATCAAAGGGGTTTGCAGAGTGATATCAAAGGATATGATTATTCTAGAGCTATGTTTTTCCATCACCAAATGTTTGAGGAGAGAAACAGGTGTTCACTTCTTGCCCTGATATGAGGTTTTGAACTGTTTGCTCTGATAGTTCACAGAATCATCTTGTACTTTGACTGCTTTAGCTGTAGTCGGAAGCATCTCTAAGCAAGTAAATCCAGGAAAACTCTCGATTTTGGCCATTAATTTTGTGATTCGTAACATTAGCTGCGCACGCGTGCCGTAACGTTTTCGTTAACGTCGTCTATCAATGTATTCATAGGATCACCGAAGTCATTCTTGGTGGAGACATTACCCATGACCGTTGGATTTTAGCCCTCGTAGAATCTGAAACTGGAAACCAAGTCTTCAAATTTTCCAAGTAGAATTGTTCGCACTGGCACGTTAATGAGCGACAACGGCTAGGATAACTCAAGCGTTCTAACAATCTCGCTGGTACGTGATAGGGGATAAATTGTTAGGATGAAAGTTTCTAGAATGTTCGATAACCTATCTTGGCACCAGTATTTCCAGTATAATCGATTTGTTGGAGATGAATTCAGGAGAAAACTCCTTTCGTAAACATATTCACTTTGTGTTACTTTATGATCCGATCTAACACAAAATTATGTATAGCCCAAAACTCCTTCCATTTCATTCATTTCCTCGCTTCCATAATCCACAGAGATTCTCAGACTTTGGGTATCGGTTCGGGTGTTGCCTGAGAACTTTGGTGTTATGCGCGAATGTAGTTAAGTACTGTTCGTTCTGGTACAGTGGAATAGTTCTAGTAGGACTTTTCTAGGCCTCCACGGTAGTACACATTCTGTGTGGATCGAAGGAGGTTTTCGCGGACAAATATCTCTTCAATTCCTCGACGTCGCCGTTATGCAATGATGCTTAGCCTGGTACTGGTTCGAGCCAGAGGCAACGTGTGCACTGCACGGCATCTCTAACCAGTGCGCTTTGCTCTCCTCTTATGGGCATACCCTTCATAATATTTAACAATAACCCTGGTATTTCACATACTGTATCAGTTTGAATTCGTTCCATTAGCGTGCATAGCATTCTGTCATCAACAAGACGAAAACAAGGGACTGGCAATACATCGATCAATACTATGCTTGGTGATTCTGATTTTAAAGAAACACCACTTTAAAGTGAATTAAGGAAGAGATCCGATAAGACGAACTCTACAGGATGCCTGTCGAATAGCTCATGACAATACTGTAGACTTTGTGGTTCTTTATACCGAACTTAAAACGCATAGTTATGCAATTGTGGGGGATTCCTGTATGTTTAAGTGGAATGCCGCCACCAGTAGTACAAGGTGACGACTTGTACACCGCACAGTGAGCAGTTAACTTCTCCGAATGTCATGAATTTAAACGGCCTTTTTCCATAATATAGCTGTTTAGCCGGATTTTTAGTGGATGTGTTGGATTTCAACATACGACGTATGCAGCGAGCGACTAGTCAGTTATCATGCTGGTGCCGGTGCTCTGCTTCTTCTTCATCGCGCTTTCTACCCCAGAAATATGAAAGTACACATAGCAAACTGTCTACCTGATGGAGATCAAGGATTAGCAAATTCACATGGTTATCGAGAAGTTTCGAACCAAAGTGTAAAAATAAGGCGATCAACCTTGTTCAATCCCAGGCGGTGCGCAGTGCATTACACTCTATTCCTACTATCGCAGAGATGGCTGAATACATATATATGTATTTTTATTGTATATATACATATATGGCCTATTTTTACCCTTCCAGATCGGTCCGGTACCAATTCTGTGAAGGGATGACGAACGTGGTTAGTAGTCTTACGTGCTCAAACCAAAGGTTATGTGCGCATTATAGGAACTACTAGTGTCGGCGTAGTATATGAGTTGTTCCACACAGTGTGGAAGCCGATAACTTGATCAAAACATTGGAATGCCGTAATTCCTTCTCGTAGCTGACGGTATTTCGACAAGCACTGGTTACGCTTTCTCATTCTATTCAGTTCCAACCGCGGCCATTGCTGTCGCCTCGTCGAAAAATTCTTTTATCGCTAGCTGTTACAACTCTGCAAGTTCGGGGATCTTAGTTGCATGTTGCTTGAAGTCTTTTGCGTGTCCTCAGTAAAGTATCAGTGCTGTTTCTATCAGGCGCTACGTCTGCATCGATTGATTGGCGGCAATAATCAATACCAGAATCGACGTAAGTATAATGAGCACTTGATATTTCATTCGTGCAATTAGACTATATATAATATTTATTCATATTTATGAAACAATACTAAATGAGCAACTCTTTAATTGGTGGCAGTAGTTAAGACTAACAAGTGCAATGCGTGCGAGAATACTGTATAATACGTAAAGCACAACAGAGTCCAACAGTGGAAGGCAGTATGAGCTAATGATATGATAACAGAACGCAGTTAGCAGTCTTAAGGAAAAATCAGCTTAAAACTCAATCAGCTGTAGTAAGTAAAATATGACTACATGAAAAAATCGATAAATAATGTGAAATAGAGATTATCGACCTTTCAAACAGACTTGACAACGCGACACACGATCTTTCAAGCCTCCCGCTTTGAGCGTTTGGGACATCGGCTTGCGAAACTGTTTGTCCTAAAAGTGTTTAATTCTCTTGGCACATAGAAGAAAATTTTTGTGTTTTGATAAACAAAAAAATTGACAGAAGCTGCAGCATAAATGACAATCTAGTCAGTTTTTATTTACTACCTATTCCTTTTTCATGGCAGGGTATACGAAGTATAACCATGACGTTGCTGAGATATTTGCAAAAGTCCGGATCGCAGGTGTCTGCGGTGGGGATCGAACCTGCTGTTATCCTTTCCGGGGTCTAACGTGTTCATCGCCACACCATGCGAGCCTTCGTTTCGCCTTTCTCTCAGCCTTCTCTTTCTCCTTCTCTATTCTAAGCTATAGGTGCTATCAGCAATCACCCGTCAACGGGGTTGAACTGGGGAGAACAAGTCGGTACTGAACCCAGTTTAGCTGAAACTGTAGTGCAAATCATCATTTATGTCATTATCGCGATTTATCCTAGAGCTTCAGCTTAACAGAGTCCAACGCCGATTTGTGTCCCTCAGCTCATTTCGGTCGACGGATGATTGCTGATGGCATCGATAGCGTTGATTGCTAATAGAATCGATAGGATAGGAACACTGCTGAGAGAAATATAAAGCAACAACCTTGGTTGGTATTGTGGATAGCACAATGAGCCCCTGCTTAGGGTAAGAGCGGGTTCAAAGTCCAAATTAGATCCAGAGTTTTGCTCATTCCTCAGCATCCCTAACATAATGCATGATTGTTCGCATTTATTCTCAATTCGTAAGGATTGGTAGGGGAAAATGGACGCAACGATGATTAAAAACATTTAGAGTAAGTCCATTTGTAAACAGGACTTAAGGGAATATTATCTTCTACAGTGTACTACAGTACTTAATTCAAAAGACCGGCTTTCTATAAACCTCGGTATAAATAGTTGATATGTTTATTTATATGTTCTTATGAACTGAGCTTGTTGAGAAGATGCAAGGTTGGTATACGTTGTCGTTGTTGTTGATTTTGTTGTTAGTCGATGGCTGATGTTTCGGCGATTTCGTCTTCATCAGAGCTCTGCTGCTACGAGTGGGATTGCCTCTGTTACGACAGGGGCTCTGAGGAAGGCGAAATCGCCGGAACATTAGCCATTGACCAACAACACCAATAACAATGACAGCGACAACGAAAACTTTGCACCAGCTCAACAAAATCAGTTTATAAGATTATATAAATAAATACCACGGTACAATACAGTATTCCTTACATTATCGACAATAGCAAGCCAGAATCCATGATTAGTGGCGTAGTGATTGCATGTGCCTCGGCCATGACATTCGATGAATGGAACTGCACGAAACTCTTCCAGGCAAGAACCAGGTGACTGTAGGGACTGACCAGTACCTTCACCACCAGCTGCGGTGTGCTAAATTCAATTCTTTTTTAAATGCTCTCAATCTCACTGCTTCTTATTAATTATTCTTGAGTCGTATTCTTAAACTGTTGTTCATAATTTGAAGGAATGTATACGGATCTAAACAACTACCATAATAAATGAGTATCCGGTCCATAATCCTCTCCATCCAACTGGACATGGCGGAATAGTAGTTTCCTGTGAATGAACAGCAATGATCTGTGTTGGAACCTCACAGACGGCACAGCGTGAGATGTACGGCCGAATGGCGGTACCGGAAACCTAGGACAATAAAGCGTTGGTTGGTTGGATCACATTTGGTTGCCAGTATTTCACACCTATCGGAAATCGAACTCAAATGCATATTGTGGAGGTTGTGTTCGAAACGAATGCGTAATCCAGTGCAATAGTCCACTGCCAATATTAGGCTTCTATTTTAAATTTTTTCCTCTACCGTATTCGTCACATACTAATTGCAAGTCTTTTAAGAAACAACCTTTCGCAATATCCGATTTTTTTAAAAATTGCACTTTCGATGAATGTTAACAAAGTCCTGGGGATCCCGACAACTTGGCTCATAACTCTTGTTGAGGGCTTTCCTTTCCACTTATGTTAAAAGCGCTCTCAACTTGTTCAGTTGCTTTCCTACCGGATTCATCATAGGTGTCATTGGTTCTTCAGTGCTCAACCAGAACGAGTAGTCATTTCTGCTCGACACGTGGCATACGCTATTCAGATTGCAGAACATAAACGGCATCGTGTTGAATTTCGACAGGCAAGATCCCGGTTGACCTTAAGCAGTACCGTTATCAGGTAAGAATGGACAACACAAATATAAGTAGGCCGTCGTAAATTTCTCATAATCAAGCTAGCTCGAATAACTTCGTGCTTTATCTGTACTTCCGCAGTCGAATAGGCATATAACAAAGGATCCAATGAAGTCCAATAATATCTTATGTCTTAAGTGGCAAAGTGTTGGATATTTCTTTGATTTCGTTTAAAAGGTGGCCTAAATACATACCAAGGTCCTGTCCACTGGATCTGCCATTTCCTTGCACATAGAGAAGTGAGTAGCCGGTCCATAGTGGTGTCGCTCCATCAGGGCAATGCGGAATCTCAAATATGAAACTCTTATCTTCCCTTACAATTGCTATTCACAGATTGATAAACATTGCTAAGTGCAATATTTAGTTGAAGTTGTCCATTGAATCATTGAAAATTGGAATAATTCTGGCTGGTATTGATTGGTGTATTTCGTTGTGCAAAATGTGCAATAAACAGCCAGTATATCACGAAGACAATAGAAAAAAAAAAAGGAAAGGAAGGAAGGAAAAAATGGTACAAAAGAGGACAGTTACTCAGGCTATGATTAACTTCAGTGAAATCTGTCACCACATCAACGGGTCATGAATTCTCTCAGACTTCTAGTATGAACCTCATATACACATATATCTTCGGCAGCAGAGCGATAGACCATTCGGCTTTAAATGGACCCCGTAAACGAAGGTTTTACTAATTGACTTACTCAGGTAGAATAAAAGAGGTTCCATGGGTTGAAGTATGATTATCCAAGCGTGAGATCATATAACTGAGAATAATATCTAACTGTACTGTTCCAAATGTTTAACTCATAAAGCTTGGATATTTTTTGAATTTATAAGTCATATTACGAAATACAATGGCGATTCAGCCATAATCAGTCAAAACCGATCACCTGTGTGCTTTGAGAATGCTTAGTGAACGTGAAGCCCCTTGACGGAGCCCATGGTCCCGGGCCACCTGGTAGTCCCGGAAGTCCTGGACTTCCAAGCTGACCTGGACGACCAGTGTTGCCAATAATTCCTGGTTGCCCAACTTCTCCTTTGAGCCCGGGTAATCCTGGAAGTCCAGGTACACCAGCCAGTCCAGGTGCTCCTGGATACCCGGCTTTACCTGGTGGTCCACGAAGACCTATAAAATGCTAAAGAATACTATTCAGGTCTGTATATCATTTTTCAATAGCGGACCTATTACATATAAAGACACACCGTTATCTCCTTTCAATCCAGGATACCCTTTTTCTCCTGGCCAACCTGGTTCTCCTGGTTCTCCTTTGTCACCGGCTCTTACGATTCCTTGTGGCCCAGGTATTCCAGGAGCTCCTTCTCGACCAGGGAGACCATCGATTCCAGGTAAGCCGGGAAGACCGTCATCACCGCGATCTCCCTTAACTCCAGGAATTCCTGGTAAACCAGGAAGACCGTTTTCACCACGTTGTCCTTGATACCCTTGTGCACCTAGAAAATGGAATCCTTTACTAAATCGAAATTGGTCAATCAAGTCCCATACGAGGTAATGCACCAGGTTCTCCTCGTCCTCCCGGGAATCCTGGAGGTCCGCTACGCCCTAGTTCTCCTGGTAGACCATCGTCACCGCAATCGCCGGGCGCCCCAGGAATACCATCTAGACCGGGCAAACCAGGCGCTCCTGGTGCTCCGTCGTGGCCTTAAATCAGCAGAAATAAGTGCATAATTCCATCATACTATTTGAATACAGCACTATACTCAGTCTTAGTCGAAAACGATTAGTTCGCTACACAAATTGCAAAGCACGGTTGTAAAACCCTAAACTACAAGTGAAAGAAAGAGCAAAAAAAATCATAGTACCTCTTTTTCCATCGATTCCCATCAGTCCCACTTCACCTTGAATTCCTGGAATACCAGGTTCTCCACGCAGTCCTGAAGGGCCGGGTGTTCCAGGGAGTCCACCATCTCCTCGCTCACCAAGTGGTCCAGGACTTCCAGGTAAACCATCTAAACCTGGCAAACCAGGTTCTCCAACTCCGCCTGGTTGTCCATAACTGTCTTTTCCAGGCGGTCCTGGATAGCCCTCTTCTCCAGGAGGACCTATTGGTCCAGGCAATCCGTCCTTTCCAGGATAGCCAGGAAGCCCTGACTCTCCTCTCTCTCCTTTGAAACCAGGTGGTCCTTCACGTCCAGGCAATCCTAGATCACCTTTAGGACCCGGAGCTCCAGGCATACCCATGTCACCCTAAAAAATTGAAAAGTAAGAAAATCAATTCGTTCTTTTTCTTGGAGAATTTGGAGGATTTCTAGCCTTTTTTTGAAGATTTGAGTGAAAAAGCGGCTCTCAATTTTCTAAACAGCACTATTTTAGTTGACTATTCCATAAGTTTTTGTCAACTTAGAAATTCTAGGAGTACGTACATTGTAGGTCACAGTCGTTACTCGAGACTTAATAATCGAGAGTTCATTTCATCACCTATGGAGTGAAACTTATGAACAGTTAAGTAATACATAGTCCTAAATCCTCAACGCATAAAATATCCCATAAAATAAAATATAATAGTTTTATTATAATTTTAAAAAGACATCAATATACGAACGGGAGGTCCGACTTCTCCTGGCACTCCATTGTATCCAGGTAGACCTACGTCACCTCTTTCGCCTTTCAAGCCAGCCAATCCTGGGGCACCAGGAAGACCTGGTAGGCCAGCATCTCCACTCAAACCCGGGTATCCTTTTTGTCCTTCTGGTCCTGGGAATCCCTGTAAAATCTAGTTATGTGATGCATGACACAATACTGCAAATCGAAAAACGTTTACCGGAGGCCCTGGTAGGCCAGGCAAGCCTGGCAATCCATCGTCTCCGCAGTCTCCTTCGACTCCAGGTACACCAGGTAATCCATCTGCTCCGGGTGCGCCAGGGTAGCCCGGTTCGCCACTCTCTCCTTTGATTCCGGGAATTCCGGTGAGCCCAGGATGACCCGGTTGTCCTGGAGCTCCGTCTGTGCCGTCGTAACCAGGTGTTCCTTCAGGGCCGGGAGCACCCGGCAACCCTGGGTAACTGTCACCGGGTTCACCTACTTCTCCCTTTAATCCGGGGACACCGTCCAGACCCGGCAAACCAGTAGGTCCTTCTGGTCCTGGATAACCGACATCACCAGGAGGTCCTGAGTGTGCAAGAGTTCCTGGTTCGCCGGGATAACCGCGAGTACCGGGTAATCCCGGTTCACCCATTTCCCCCTTTAATCCTGGAGCACCATTAAGACCTGGTCGTCCAGGTAATCCTGAAAACCACTCAAATAAAAGGATAGCTATTTAGCCGAGTTAAGCTCTTGTCAACCTCATGTTAGCTTATCAGTGAAAGAATACACATCGATTGGTCATGCTGAGGCTTTAAGAAAGTCGGTAATGTTAGCCTTTTATTTGGCGCCTGCTATAATTCTTTACGGCAGGGTATGATGTGAAATATAACTACAATGATGCTGAGTTATTCGCAAAACTTGGACCCTGGGCCAGAGAAAGGGTAACCGGGAGTTCGAAGCCCACCTTACGTTCCGAGTTTTCTTCATACCTCACCATCCATGAGGCTGTATTCCACATAATACCTTGCTATGAAAAAAGAATAGGCAGTGAATAAAAGTTAAAACATTGTGATTTCAACCACAATGATGCACAGATATTTTGAATAAAAGTGAACAGGTGTGTGCAATGGGAAACGAACGCGCTATTAACCTTCTCGGGTGCTATCGCGTTTACCACCACACCGTACGGGTCCTTCGTTTCGCCTGTCTCTCAGCTAGTTCTATCGATCAGCGCCACAGCAACACCCGTCAACAAGATTGATCTAGGGAGCCGAAATCGGCAATAAACCCAGTTAAGCTGACGCGGTAGTCGAAATCACAATGTTAACTTTTTATTTACTTACTGTCTATTATAACTTTTCATGGATTTCAACTGCAAATGTAATAATTGCCAGTTACGGTTATATTTCACTTCATCACTACCTATGACTATATTTCATTTCAGAATATCATGAACTAGGCGTATTCGTTGATGTCTTGTAAAATGTTCCGCTGTCTACACTTCTACGTGCCCCATTTTTCTCTAAGAATTACTTTAGATTTTGAATGCCTACTTTTCAAAATATGAGCCTAGTATTAGCGGTTGAAATTAAAATTATGGGAAACCACTAGGTCTACTATTTGCCGAAAACTGAAATTGACTTAAAAACTGAATTTTATCAAGTCATAAGGTGCTTTACCTTCCTCTCCTGGTGGTCCTGGTAGTCCGGGAATACCGTCGATACCGTTATCTCCATCTTCTCCAGGTAGTCCTGCAGCACCTGGTAATCCGTTGTCGCCAGGCATTCCGCGTAAACCCGGAAACCCTATCAAACCATCTTCGCCGGGAATTCCGTCCGCTCCACGAGGTCCTGGTTCTCCAGGGTATCCAGGTTCGCCCATGTCCCCAGGTGGGCCGGAAGATCCTGGTGCTCCGTTTAATCCAGGAAGACCTGCTTCTCCTTTCAGACCAGGCAATCCCGGAAAGCCAGAAGGCCCTTGTAATCCGGGACGTCCACGCTTTCCATCAATGCCGGTCAGTCCTTTCTCTCCGGGGAATCCATCAGGTCCAGGTGGTCCATCCAGACCAGGTGTTCCGGGCTCTCCAGGATAGCCGGGCGGTCCTGGGAGACCCGGCATTCCTTGTACGCCATTTTGTCCCGGAAAGCCCATGTCGCCTTGTTCTCCTTTAGGACCAGGATAACCAGCAGCTCCTGGGTATCCATAGCCAGGTTCTCCTTTTTCTCCTAAAAAAAACCTGTTTCAAGTCCTGAGTTGTCAGACAGTTGATACTATAAGTGAAATTACCTGGAAATCCAGGAAGGCCAGGTAAACCATCTGCCCCTTGTTCACCACAATCTCCTTCTTCGCCGTTTAAGCCCGCGTCGCCCTGGAGACCTCTCAATCCTGGTTTCCCTTGAAGACCTGGAAATCCAGGGAGACCATTATCTCCTCTTTCTCCAGGTAATCCAGGGTATCCTTGACTTCCTGGCTGAAATTATACAGAATTGTGCAGCAATGCTTAATTAATCGGTTTCAACATTGTGTCAATGTTGTGTTGTGTCTTTAAAAGAATATGTGCTATAGTTCGAAACTAGATCTTTTTATGTGTTAGGAAACAACAATAACAAGACAAAAATACCTGTCCGGGCAATCCAGGCAATCCGTCAACACCTCTTTCTCCTTTTAATCCTGGCGCTCCATCAAGGCCATCGGATCCTGGCTTTCCTTGGGAAAACTCTTGCGGAGCAGGAGGTCCTGGTGGTCCCATCGATCCGGGCAATCCAGGGTATCCGGCATCTCCACTCAAGCCCTTTTGTCCAGGAAAACCTGGCTGTCCTGGATAACTGTCTCCAGGTGGACCCTGGAGACCGGGGAGGCCAATCTGCAATTTTTAAATGAAGAAACTAGATATAATGCATCTGGATAAAAACGGGACCGTGAAAGACAGACTTGGCTTGTAAGTTGTTTATTACCTGCCCATCTCTGCCTCGCTTCCCGTCAATACCAAGCAGACCCTTTTCTCCTGGGTATCCTGGCAAGCCATCAGGGCCTGGTAGACCAGGAATTCCGTCAAGACCAGGATTCCCTTGTCTTCCCGATAAACCTAAGAAATTATTTGTTCCTGTGAAAGTGAATTTGAAAAGTAGTAGTATCCACAGCAATACATAGTAAAGAATTCGACTTTGTTTTCAGAATAATATTTTTTAAAGAGGGTTGATTTAAGGCTTAGGATCTATTTACATTTACAAAAGCTTGTAAATGCTTTTAGCAGTCCCTAGGGATCTGCCCTGCATTTGACTCCATTTTAAGAGGTGACTGAATACGTATTTGGCCTATACAATGATTTCCTACGGTTTATTCATGTCTCAATGGTGGTTTTATCTTCTTAGACAACTTTAGGGCCGGTATGATAACATCGGAGGAATAAGAAGCTTTGCTTAGCCTGCGTAAAGTATCGAACCAATGACCGTGTGCTAACTAGTGCAAATGCGCGCATTTATCCTTTATACTATGACCGCATTTGTAAACAGTGAGAAAAACTCACCACTATACCATTTAGCGCTTTAAAGTTCTCCATTATGAAATATTTTCTTCTGTTTGTTGGTGTAATGAAGCAATAATTTGGAAAAAAAATCGGTTATTTCTTTCAAATCAGTTGCTGGACTGTCTTCTTTCGGGGAGGCATATGAAACAAAACCAAGCGATTCTTCAATTATACGGGTACTCAGTGAAATCATTCAATATTATTCAGTTGAACTGTATTACATAATTAAAAAGAGCGTGCACAGTGTTTGTGGTGGACTGTAACAAACACGTGGTTGTAAAATCAGTTTCCGTACTCTGGGCTAACCAAACCCTTCACCCATCCGAGGTTGGCAGACTGTTAGCACAGTTGTCTGGAGAGGTACCAGTTCTTACTGGATAGTAGGCTATCACAAGTCACTGTATCGGGCAGCTATGATCCATCCACCTCTACTACGCTACGAACGGAGATGAATGCATGGCGTACCCTCTTTGATTTGTCTGTGCCGAATGCTTCATAATTTTATCCTTTGTATATGTCGACAAGAACTTTAATTTCGATGAAACATAGAATTGACCATTTAGGGACTGAATACCTATGGAAAGGACAGTCGTTTTCTCTCTAATAGTGTTCATTTTCACAACAATGTATGCAATGTGTCTCAAGAGAAAACCTCTGCTAAAATATGAAGAAATGCAGTCATATTACTCCAAGGGCGCGTGGGACGCAGTGGTCGGACGTGCCCTGTAACACACACATGGAATCGATCCCTGCTCCCCAAGCCCACCAAGCACTCCATCTCTTCAGGGTCGGCAGATTGGTACCATACTTGTCTGAGAGGATAAAGGGCATATAGGCATTCAATCACCTCCAAATGATGCTTAATAAAGGAATGTATGGCGCATCCCTCAGGGATTGATCAACGCTGAGAGCTTTATCCTTTATCCTTTTTTTATTCTATAGAATCAACCTGTTAGTGAGATTATCATAAATAGTCTTGCAAGATGAAAGGTAAGCATTAGATCATTAAAGAAATCACATGTTCACTAAAATTGAATCTTATTCACAAGCCACCTTAATTAGCGCATTGTTTCATATACGTATAATATATTATGGATTGAATCAGATTCCAGTCTTTATTGATTGCAAGTACCTCCCTACAGTTTAGTGTTGACACGAAGTTCTACAGTTTTTCGGCGACGTGGCCTTATGAAGAAGAAGAAAAACTGATACCTTGGTATGAGTGTAGTTGGTTGGGCACTTACCGGGAATTCCTCGTTCTCCTTTTGGTCCATCGACTCCTGGCGGATTCTCCATTGGACCGATGATTTCACCTGCTTCGCCTTTCAAACCTGGGTAACCAGGTATTCCTGGTAGTCCAACAGAACCCTAGACTGGAAATTTTCGTTATCACAAACTAGGACAGTTAATATTCAATCTTACAGGAAGTCCATCTGGTCCTGGTAGTCCTGGTTTTCCTGGCTGTCCTTTTAATCCACACTCACCACTCTCGCCATCAGGACCGGGATGTCCTGGGTATCCGTCAATTCCTGGTAGCCCCGGTTCTCCCTTCATACCAGGTAGCCCGTCTGGACAGTAACCACAGTCATCGCCTTTAGGTCCTTTTTCTCCGGGAATTCCTGGTGGTCCATCGATCCCAATTCGACCTAAACATCCATAAAGAGGCTAAATTTTGGTTTAAGTATTCTCGAAAAAATTTTAAATTGTGTCGTTTGGTGAATAGTGAATTTGCGTAAAACCACCAAATGAACTTCACTGGGCGATTCTCCTCCTAGACAGAAAGAAAAAGAGCTTTGTTTTATTCGTTTTGCATACTTACAATACAATTATTGCGAACTTATGTGGAGTTATCATAAAAAGCAACTAAGTTATCCTGTATAAAAGTGTTGAATTTCTGACAATTACCATATGTAAAAGTTATGTATAGAGTATGCCTGGTTTAATTTTCACTATATAACAAATGAAAAGTCATTCGATGATGTGATAAATTTCACAACATACTAAATTTAAATTTTAGAAACATGCTTACCATTTTCTCCCGGAGGTCCAATGAGACCAATTTGTCCAGGTGGTCCTACTTTCTTCACTCCATTTCCCGGGAATCCTTTTTCTCCAGGGTAGCCCGGCTCTCCTACGATGCCGGGAATTCCCGGGTATCCATCTCTTCCGGGTATGCCATCGTTCCCAGGTGGCCCTTGGATGTCGTAGCCAGGTAATCCATCTTCACCAGGTGGACCACAATCTCCTTCTTCTCCTGGAATACCGGGCTCACCGGGGCGTCCTGGGTAGCCGTCATCTCCACGATCTCCTCTTTCTGAATATCCAGGCAAGCCATCCAGTCCAGGAGGTCCTTGGGGACCAGGTGCACCTACGGGCCCTCTTAAACCAACAGGTCCAGGCAATCCATCTTTTCCCGGTAGTCCTTTAGGTCCAGGGACTCCATCCAGTCCTTGAAGTCCGCGCACACCAGCAGCGCCGTGACCTTCTCCAAAGGGACCCGGAGGCCCAACATCTCCTTCGATTCCTGGTCGTCCAGGATATCCCGGTTCTCCCGCTTCTCCCTTAGGTCCTGGATACCCAGGAAGTCCTGGAAGGCCCCGTTCTCCTTGAGATCCTTTCTCACCGAATTGGCCGTGCACTCCGTCTTTTCCTCTCTTTCCCTGTAACAAATTAGTAATATTAATTTATCGCTCCTACTTTTGTTTTTCTTCACTTAATATTTTCGAAAAATTGCAACAAAAACTTGCTCTGTTTCCGGCGTCTCCTGGGTCTCCTTTCTGTCCTTTCAGTCCAGGGTAACCGTCGGGGCCATTCACACCCATCATTCCAGGAGGTCCAATTGGTCCTTCGCGACCTTTTTCTCCTTTTACACCTGAAGCTGGCAATGATAAGAAGTTTATGCTAAAGAATGGAGAATTAGACCTCACCTTGGGGTCCCACCGGTCCTTGGAGAACCTCAATTTCTTCCGGTGCAGAAGCTCCAGGAAACGTTCCAGGTGGTCCGGGTAAACCAGGTGGTCCTTGTAATCCCTTTTCGCCTTTCACACCAGGTGTACGAGCACCCATGCGTCCTTTCTGACCAGGAGGTCCGGGAAAACCTGGTGGACCGTGTGGACCAGGGTCACCTTTCCAACCCTTCATTCCGGTCAAACCATCACGTCCAGGTAGACCGGGAATACCGGGTCGACCTGTTTCTCCTTTCGCTCCTTTTCGGCCTACAGAATTTATTCCTCCTTCTCCTGGTGGTCCTGGAAGTCCGGGTCTTCCCGGTGCGCCAGGTGGACCAGGTGGCCCTGGAGGACCTGCTATCCCAGGTCGTCCCGGAAAACCCTGAATGTGGCATAAAGCGTACAATACTCTACAAAAAGTGTTTTAAGAACAACTCACATCAGTTCCATTGCATCCTGGAATCCCTTCCTCTCCCTTAAGTCCTGGAAGTCCGTCGAGTCCAGGAAGACCTGGATGTCCGGGAGCTCCTGGGAGACCCCTGTCACCACGCATTCCTTTCGGACCGACGTCACCGTAATCACCTTCAGCTCCGATCATTCCTGGTGCACCAGGTGATCCTTCGGGTCCATCCAGTCCAGGCGCTCCAGGATAACCTATTTCGCCAGGGAATCCGATGCCGCCCTAGAAAAAGTTCTATATTGTGTACAACAAAGATATGGTCCCTTTCAAGATGTTTTTGAAGAAAGAGAGTTTGTTTGCGCTAAAATTTTGGAAAATAAACTCATGAACTAAAAAATTATAACGTACAATTTGGAGCTAATTCTGTTAAATGTTAATATCATTCAATAAAACACTTTGCATCACCTCCATAAAAATAAAACAAAGGGGGTTCATGGATAGGCTTAGATTGATTGCTGAAAATGAAATAATCTGTACTGTTATTGAAAGTTTTTAAACTCACTTGAATGTCTCCAACAGAAATGCTGAATTGATTATTACGGCAGGATGAAATCAAGTAGAATCAAAAGACGACGAAATATTTGTCGTTGTAACAAGGTTCTGAATGGTGAACCAACAGGTGAAATAAAAACGACAACGCGCTCGGCGTTGATCAATCCTCTAGTGAAGGTTGAACCCATATTTGGCCTATTCGGTGACGTACGACGACCTATCGATGCATCAAGGCAACGTTTTCATCCTTCCAGACAAGACCGGTACTGAATCGGCGACTGCGGAAAAATGGACGGTTTGGTATGCCAGAGGGGCGGGATTACACCAACAAGCATTTATGCATCGTACGAGAGCTCTAACCTCTGCGCTACATCCAGCTCTGCTCGAGTTAAAAATTAGCGATCAGAAGGCGTACGATGGGATCAGTTTATATTTAATATTGTACCATGAATAACTGACATATGTGCATAGAAAATTTTAAAGATATGTCATTGAATGACAAAAGATCTAAAACCATATAATACTTAAAATCGGACTGCTTTCATAGGTGACGCATGGACGTAATGGTTCAATAACAGAATGGCGTGCATGGATTCATCGAGGAAAAGTTGGAGAAAACATCAAAACATGAAAACATCTACACTTACCTTTTCGCCTTTCTGTCCCGGACATACACATGGTGGTGCACACCCTTTGCATGCAGCAGCATCAACGAATCTAAATAAATGAATACTGAAAGTATACAAAGTTCATGAAAGCAAGGCCATATTTCCCCCAATCCAATCTCTTAGTATCACGCATACCGGGCTAGTGCTGACTCTTCTGTTACAAAATCTTGATGAAAAAGTGATTCGATTCAGAAGAAAGAAGTGGCATTCGATTTGCTTGTTGACTTCGCTCTTTCCACAAATCCTTCACTCTATGTGAGTAATCGCATTGCTAATATAACCCAACCAATTTGGCCAGTGTAGCTTCGTTCCTTGATAGCCAAAGATGTTCCTCATTAGAGTCTTCATCCTCTAGTCATTCCGTTACATTCCGTAGACAGACCAAAGAGAAAGATGTGTGATTAGATTCCCGAATAGGATATTAAAAAATGAATAGTTACCATTAAATGCAAGAGGATTTAGGATTTAGGAATTGCGCTCTCTTTCCATGCCACATTATTCAAATTATATCCGAATACACCTAGTTCTATATAGTACCACTGATAGTAAAGGTTTATGCAAGGTAAAGGTCCTGTCAAAGCTTTCTTTTAGTGGCCATTTCTCTATTTTTCGAGACTTATAAGAATTGAAGGAATATTATAGTCACAGTTGTACTGAAATATTTGCAAAACTCCGGTCCGCAGGTGTTTGCGGTGGAGAACGAACGTGCTATTACCGTTTCTGGGGGCTAACGCATTCACCATGCTGGTCCTTCGTTCCCCTGTCTCTCAACTAGTTCTGTCCATCAATGCCATCGGCTATCACCCGTTAACGGGACTGATTAGGGAAGCCCAAATCGGCGATGAAGCCAGCCGAGCTGAGGCTATAGTCGAAATAACATTACTAGCTTTTTATGTTACTGACCATTACAATTCTTCACGGCAGAGTATTATGTGTGATATATTCACAATGATGCTGAGATATTTGCAAAACTCCGGAACGCAGGTATCTGTGGTGGTGAACGCGTTAGTCCCCAGAAAGGGTAATAGCGCGTTCGTTCACCACCGCAAACACCTACGGTCCGGAGTTTTGCAAATATCTCAGCGTCATTGTTATTATATTTTACATCATACCCTGCCATGAAAAAAGAGTAAGCAGTAAATAAAAAGTGACTAGATAGCGATTCAAACGAATAATGTTAGGAGAACTTAACGAAGTGAAGAAAATAAAAGTAGGACTGCAAATAAAAAATGAGTACAGTGCGATTTATTTAACAAAAATAGTTTAGTTCGGTGGGAAACACATAGAAATAGAAATATGTTGAACCAGGAAGTGCCCCATCCATGTATCAAAGCGGCTTAGTGAACATGGAAAACAATTCTATGGAACCGAATAGTGATAGGAAGACAGCACGGACCGCCTTGGAATTCCCCAGTGAGGCTCGGATGAACTATCGGACATCCATCCCTTTTTCATTTGTTTCATTCGATAGTTTTTTTTCAACCCTGTAGTATCAAATTAAGATGGTAGTTAGCCTTTGAATAACCTCGAGGACACTGCACAAAGGGTAAGGTATACAGCGTTCGACGTTGATCAAAATCTGAGGAATGCACCGTGCATTCAACTTCGTCAAGCGTAGTTAGAAGTGATTGAATGCATATCTGGCCTAAAGAATGAGTTTCGATGGGAATTCCAATATATGAAGTCACTGCTGTTATCCTTCAGACAAGTCTGGTACAAATTTGCTGACCTCGGAGTGGTGGAAACCTTGGTGAGACCGAGATGCCGATCGAACTGACGACAACCTTTGTAACGCGAAACACCTCTAACCACTGCGCTAACGCGTCCCCACATTACTGTATACTACTGTTAAATCTATATGTTTTAAAGTGGTGCTTTTGAAAACCGCTTTTATTCTAATTCAAGTGGCTACTAGATATTCTATATTCGGATACGTTTAAGAACATTCCAGTGGCTTCCCTCCACCATCTGCAAAACCATGAGCAGGTACAGTTGTTAAAGGAAAGAAATTAGAATAGACAAGGTTCATTTCGAGAGATCTCTTGCTATAAGCTCCTGCTTAGAGACACGCATCGCTGTCAGAATGACCAACCGCGCAATGGACAGGTGTCTTCTCTTCTGACTCTATAGCGCCTCGGCAATTGGCGTTCAGTCGCCGATCACACGGGCTTTGAATCTTCAGAGATCGAGGTCGACGAAAACGAGCTATAAATGCATGTGCATAACTTCTGTATATGATGAGCTGGCATCTTTTCCACTTGACAGGCGTTAGGAAGGAGGTTGGAGAGGTGTTCCCATCGCTGAGAATTTTACCATACCGACACACTTCGCGCTTTGACTATGCAAACGAAGAGAGCAACTGTTATCATCACAATCTTAACTCTTTTATTTACTGCCTTTTTCTTCTTAATGGCAGGGTATGTTTAGAATTATAACTCGTACGAAATGCTGAGATATTTGCAAAACTCGGAACCGCAGGTGTCTGCGGTGGGGAACGAACGCGCTTTGTCCTTTCCGGGTAGTAACGCGTTCACCACCACACCATGCGGATCCTTCGTTTCGCCTGTCTCTCAGCTAGTTCTATCGATTTTTTTCCATCAGAAATCAGCCGTCGACGGGATCTGATTATATTTCGCAACATACCCTGCCTTTATTATGCAACGTATAGCCTAGAAAAGGCGCGTGTGGTGCTGTGGTGGGGAGGCGCCCTCTGCAATGCATACGTGTATTCGCTCCATACGCCCATGGTTCACCAAGCTTTTCATCCATCCAGGGTCGGCGAATTGCTACCAGGCTGTCTGGAAGGATAGCAGCACTGCTTCGATACATCGGTAGGTAACCTCGAGTAATGGTAAAGGCCAGATATGCATTCAATCACCTCTAGACGATGCTTAATGATGTCCAATGCATGGCACAGTCCTCAGAAATTGATTAGCGCCGAGACCCTTATCCTTTATTAGAGCTTTATTGATAGCCTAAAGAATGACAACACACCTCGAACTAGGAACACATAAAAGAATGCCGACGAGTATTCCGCATACTTCGAGCTGAGGATGTAAGAAAACTCGATGAAATACACCAAAACCGAAGTGAATGTATAAATAAGTTGGAAATAAATGATCAACTGATAGTTCATCTCCTAAATAGAAGAGGGTAAGAGTGACGATAACCATAGAACAATTTTCGAAGAAATTTTGCGGAAGCGAAATATAGTTACCTTACTAGATCACAATAAAGTCAGCGTCAGCTTCCTCAGTAGCAAGAGATTGTTAATAACAAGATTTATTCAATACTGGGTGAGGTTTTTGAGGTTTCTTCTTCTTCAGAACCTGGAATGATCAAATCGACACCCAACCTAATCATCCGAGTGCTTTCGTAGCCTAAGTAAAAAAGAAACCCAGTACATAAATCCTATTCATAAATCATTCGTTGCATTTGCGAATCACAAAGAGCTTGCTTGAAGGCATCTAAAGTTTACCGTTGAAAATCGTCTTCGTTCTCCAAATGGTAGTTTTACAAAATTAATCTAGTCTAAAAAGTTCTCTTTTCTCAAATTCTTATCGTTTCAGTACCTTCCAGTAAAGCTTACTCTTTGCATCGAGCATTAGCTTTCTGACTCTTTCATCATGTCCAAACAATTTTTAATCATTGGAGAGCATCTGCTTTTGCTCCGAACATGACTCTCTGCATCGACAGAGTTTTAGGACATATCACTCAAGACATTCCCACTAAAATGAATGTAATTTTTTTCATTTTCTTATTTACTAACGTATGTCGGTACTCTGAACAGTTATTTTCGATCTCATTGTGGCTTAGAGGTGTAGTCAAATATTCAACTGCAATATATAACAACGGTAAAAAAGACTCAAGACTGCAGGGAAATAAAATTTCCCAAGATCAAGGAATTTATCAGCCAAGTAGAAATTGTTTTTAGGCTCGCTTTATTTGTACCATATAATGTGCTAATTAAGGGATAATCAGTGGGTAATTGTAGCTCAGTGGTTCGAAGGGCCCTCCAGTCCATACAAGGTAGTTGGTTCGACGCTCCATCTAAGCAACTACGCCCTTTATCTTTCGCTCTATTATCACCATAGAGCGATGATTCTGAACATCACTTAACTTTCGAATTCGTTCTGAAAACCACGAAAACTGTCCGGCTCTGAATAGCCGACTTGTGAAAGACTGCCTGTTGAATATTATAGTTTGGCGACCGACACCTAAAAACACACGTCTGCCACGACAGATGCGAGCCATTAATGAAAATTCTATAAGCATGATAAGTATATACATACATATAGAGCAATATATAACAATTGCAATATGAAGCGCTCATTAACTATATTACACCCGATGCTTGCCGCCTCACTATAAGGAGATCTCGGTGTTGAGTTGCGATTCCGAGCTGGTCGTTTATCACTTTTGCAAAGTTCTCCAAACTGAGAAAAAATCCCATGTTTGTAGTCGAAAGATATGCTGAGAATACACTAATGCCTGAAATCACATCTGCTTCGTGTTGACTAGTCGCAAAGTGTCATACCTCGTTCTGATCTACAAGGGATGGCGATTGATATTGGTAACGACCTGAGGAAAGCTTCAACTGCACTAACCTAGGTACTACAAAAAACCACAAGTGGCTTCAGCACCAATACATTAGGCGTCCACCTTTACTATGTAGGGCGGTGAAACAACCAATGATGTTTTCGATTCCCTCGCTAAGATTCGCTCAGTCACTTCAAAATCATCGCCGTTGTGCTTTTGTGCCCTAAGCGTACCTAGAGGAGTGTTTTGACGGATCATAACTTTCCCATCTAGATGTTCTTTTATGCGGACACAAAGTGGTCTACCCGTTTCCCCGATATACTCCTCGCCAAATGCATTACATGGGATCAACCTAGGTACTACATATATTATACCTAAACTCATGCAATCTCCGTCTCTCCCGTTAGGACAGATCATACAGTTATAAGGTTTTTCATACATTCCGAATTTAGGAGTAAGAAAATAGTTTACTTGATAAATAGAAGGTATGAATAGCACCATTTAATAGCGTCTGGTGACCTGGTGAACCAAGTCGATGACCAACATACGCTAAAGCAGTGGTTGCAAGCAAAGCCAAACTTTCGATTTATTAACAAATGTAGAATGATTTAACGGTTTACCCCAACCCCATTTCCTCCATCCCACCAGCAGGGTCTCCCAAGCCAAGAAGGAGTCTGGCTTTTCCTTCAGGAAGTACAGCTAGGGGTAAAGCAATACATGCATCCATCACCGTCATGGCGTCGAACCAGTACCATGGTGGCAAATCCCCTTCTGATCCACAAACGCGGCGACTGGCTGTGGTAGTGACGACATGGGCAGACTTTGGTTAGGTTGATGTTGGGTCTCCAGCGAACCAGTGGAGCTAAACCAGCAAAAGTCTAAAAAAATGGAAATTTAGCTGAGGGTCACACCACCAGTGAGGACGAGCCATCAAAGTACTCATGAAAGTATCATCTGTCGTCTAGGTGATGGGCGAGTGACTCGAGCCGGAGTTAGTAAATCTTCCCTGTCTTGTCTATGAGTATTCTACTGGGTTCTGCTCTCACTAGAGAGCTTGGTAATCTCAATGTTTTTTCTCTTCCGTTTCCGTGAAGAACTCTGAAGGTAGTCTACCTCCAGAACGTTTGACATCCCATGGAATCCAGACACTAATTGGACTTGTCCATCGGTTCTCGTTCATACGCATTATGTGGCCGACGTCCCTTATTTTCGACAGTCTCGCGTATAGAACGGGGTTTTTAATTTTTGATCGCTGCCGTAGATTGGAACTTCCAATAGATTCCCTCACTTGCGTAATGTGGGATACTCTTAGAATCGTCTTTTTGACTGCCCGTTCCATAACGCTTCGTGCTTAATCAACGACCACATTTTTAACACATACATTAAGACAGGAAAGATCGTAGAGTCAAAGAGACGGGTAAGCAGTCGCATGTTCTTTATTCTCCTCACTAAACCCTCGATGCTCTTGAAAGCTACCCAAGCAGCTCTTTTCTACGTGCTCACTCACCTCTGGAGCTAAGGCGTCCAACTCGTTGATTTCTCGATATAGATAGACAGAATTGCAACAATCACAGAGGCTCCTACCGTTGACCGTGAATGGAGCATACAAAATTTTATTCTTATTGAACATCGCTCTTGTGAGATTTAACCGAAGACCAATCTTTCCATAGAATCTGTCAAAGTCGGCAAGCATTTGTTCCGCCTGGTTAATATTTGGCGTTATGAGAAGAAATAATCAGCAAAACGAAGATAAAGTAACTGCCACGACCGACTTTCTATTAACCTCAGCGTTGATCAAGTAATTTTCTTCGTATTTTTGTTGTGCAAACGCGAGGTGTTATTATTCTTTGTTCACGATTAAGTTGACGTTTCGGCGGATTTCGCCTTCCTCAGAGCCTGGAAAGGTCAAGTTGATAGCAATCTACTCGGCCAGACGCCTCCATAACCAAAC